TACACTTTACAGTGGAATTTAAAAATGCTTGCATCATTAATAGTTATTTTCCTGTTTATCACTGTAAAGCTGCTGTGAAACAAATAAATAAAGGTAAGGACTATATTTTTCATGTGAACTTTTATATTATAATGTTACAGTATTTAGTCTATTTAAACATAATGGTGTTTGTGCATCGTATATATATTTGGAAAGTGATTTTGTGTTATCCAATTCTTCATTTATCCATCAATTCCATAGAAGCACAGAAAGGCAGATAATTATTGTGCCAGTTTTAATTTTCTTTAAAGAAGGGGGTTTTATCCCCAATTCATTTAGACAAGTATATTCCATTGATCTCCTGTGGTCTTTTCAGAGATTACGTCATACTGGATTAAACACCCTTTTCCGCTTTCACGCTGTTCAAAGATTCTTCGTCAAGCTTTCCGCTGTGCTTTCTCCCTCTGGAACCCCAGTGCCTTTTTGTGTGGCCTTTGACCTGGGTTCTTTAGCTGTGCATTTGGGTGAAAGGTGGTTGGGGAATGGAGGTCAGGGGAAGGACAGACACAATAGACAGACTGAGTTTGAGAAGAGAGTGCTCAACCTGGGAGTTCCATCACTTTAAATCAGTGTGCCTCGCTGATGGGCTCCTAGTCCCACCATCAAACATCCCAGTGTCCCAGTGCAGGGTGAGGAGATTTCTGTGTGTGAGCAAGGGCTATAGATTTATAGTGTTTGAATGTTTCTGTGCATATGGGTTACTGGAGCCACAGGAATCTCTGCACGCTGCTAGATTCATCTATGAATTCTGTTTTTCTTAGCAGAGGATTCATTTTAGTGTCATGTGATCATATTCATCTCTCTTTATGCCACTATACTCTGCCATCAGTTTCTGCACCACATTCAGAAAAACACAAATGCTTTCCAGCTTAATAACCGAAATGATTTAATGATGGTGAAATCCAATGAGGTTATTCTAGGTTAGGTCACATGATCCTTCAGAAAAAAAATCTAATATGACGATTCGCTGCTCAAGAAACATTTCTTATTTTTATCAATGTTGAAAAAAGTTGTGCTGCTTAACATTTGTTTTAAAGGTTGTTTGATGAATAGAAAGTTCAAAAGCCTTTATTTGAAATAGAAATCTTGTACCTGAATGGTCTTTACTGATCAATTTAAAGTGCCCTTGATGAATAAAAGTATTCATTTAGTTTTCAAAAATCATACTGACCCCAAACCTTTGAACAGTAATTGAAAAATATATTTTTTTTGTATATTAAGTGTATTCTTTGGAAGCAACTACATAAAATTATTTTATTATTTTGGAAACTCTTGATGCGTTTGTGAGAAGGTGCTTTTGTGAGACATGTTACAAAGTGTTGACATCTGTCTCACCACTGTTGATGTTGATGGTTAGACCAGGTTAAAAAACAACATTTGACAGCCACAACACGGTCAGATTGTCCTCTAAAATCAACGCAAATGAAGTTAGCAGATGCTCCCTAGGTGAGATTTGTCTGCAGATCCACAGAGACATAAACGTGACAGCCGTTTCTGGCCTGTCAGAAACTGATGATATATGACCCTAAAGTTGGACAATATTGATCTGGGCCTGTTCATGAAGAGCAATCACAGATAATACAGTGATGATTTTCAATCTAACTTCAGCCAAGAAAAAGAGCTGAGCTTTCTACCTTTGAAATATTGTGTAACTAACTAACGCATCTTAATGCCCTAAATGTGAACTTGACAGAGAACAATTCACAGGCATGACAGTTATGAACATGAATGTTTAAATAAATTTCCTGAAGTGTTTAAAGAAATCGTGTGCTTGCAGGAACACGTCTGCGCTGATGTTTCTTCAGTAGCCTACAACTCTCTCGTTCTCTGCTCACAGTCGACATTGCTGACTTACTGCCATAATGGTGTCTTTCAGAGTGAATATTCCTCATGCTTGCCACAGCTGCTGTCACAGGAGGACGAATCTGTGTTATTTCCATCACTAACAGCATGAGTTCATGGAGCACTGTTTAATGTCTAATGTATGTGAACATACTGAGAGTGTCGATGAAATTCAGGAGACCTGTTGCCACAACATTACACTGAGATTTCGTGAGTTTTACCTTTCACTAAACATATTTAGACATACGGGAAATTCCAAGACGATTTCGATATATCTAAATATGTTAAGTGAAAGGTAAAACTTCCGAAATCTCCGTGTAAACAATGCGTGACGTACACGCACGCGATCACTTCAGGCGGCACGTTGGAGACGGTTCAGTTCGGTTCAGTTGGACATCTGATTCAGTTCGACGGCTGTTAACAAGAGGTAAACACTATGTAAATACTGTTCGTTTTCTCACACAAACCGCTCTTTTCGTGTCTTAGGCCATCATTTACATTTACGAGTCATTAATCATGTTTAATTTTGACTTCTCTGTGCATGCTCGTTGAGGTGGGCTCCATAGACCTGCATTAGCTATGACGGGCAACAACGGTTTGACCAAAATGTAAGTTTCTTTAACTCAGTTTGTTGGTTGAACATATTTTCATTTCATTGCACGTTCGTGACTCTCCTGTTCAAAATCGTTCATCAAAATGAACGAATCTTTTTCCGAGTCAACTCGTTCGTTCCGTTCGTTGAATGAACCAAATGACTCGGAAAAAGATTCGTCCATTTTGATGAACATATTGGAACAGGAGAGTCACGTGCATCGAAGTACAGACCAAAGCGAGCATTTGAGCTTATAAAACTTAAACTTTGTTATTTATTTATTAAATGAGCGATCATTTCGCTTGATAAGACCCTTATTCATCATCTGGAATCGTTTAAAGCCCTTTGAACAGTTTGCAGTTTGTACGGAAAGGATTGGTCTTTGGGGCCTTGAACCGTTTGGTGCCCACTGAAGTCCATTATATGGAGAAAAATCCTGGAATGTTTTTATCAAAAACCTTGATTTCTTTTCAACTGAAGAAAGAAAGACATGGACATCTTGGATGACATGGGGGTGAGTAAACTATCAGCAAAAGTGTTTTTTTTTTTTTAAAGCGAACTAAGTTACTCTTTTAACTTGTCTAGCACTTTTATTGCGATTTTGTTACGTTACAGTTTTGTGAATTGATCTCACTAGTGTTCACTGGACAGTAAAGTAGTCAGTGTATTTGTTAGGTTTGTGTGTCATCTGAAGCCAAAGTTTGATTCTGACAAAAGAGTAGGCTTATATATTTTGACTAAAATATTTGATTTGGTGGAAGTTGAGGTTTGTGCTAGTTGGGGTGCAGTTGTGAGAATTTAGGTGTGTGAGTTGTTTCATGAATTGTGTGTTAGTAGCAATTGAGAAAAACTATAATAGGAATCCGTGCAATTGGGAATTTTGTGTGAGGGTAAAAGATTTCCCCATGCAGATTTAGCAACGAGTTCACGTTCACAGATTCGAAACATTGATCAACAGAAAGCTGCTTGGTTTGAAAGTGACTTGAGTGAGCTGTGCTTCATGTTGACAATAGACAATGGACCTTTTTTGCCTGCAGTATTTCACTAATGTGACTAACACGACCTGTTTCCATCTGATGTTTCAGCATGACTTGTTCAGACTTCATCCTCACAAAATTTTCTTAACATTTGAAATTCAAATGACATTATGTAGAATTGCCAGGAGAGCTGTAAGTGCTGTTGTTGTATCTTCTCTTCACAGAGCATCATGTTGTTTGATGCTGATTAAGCCCTCCTTCATCTCACCTGCTTACAGATGTCATGACCCTGTGTATTTGTCTGACTCCACAGTATTTAGCTCAGCTCCTAATAAGCACCAAGTCGTAACCTGCGTCTTCTCAGAGTTGTCTTTTGGTTGTGCCCATACACAGCTTCGCTCTAAGTAACAGGGATTTTTCATCCTATGCCTATATTGCGGAATTTTCCCCTGGTGAACATTGGGACAACACAATTGTTACGTACTTTTAAATCGTGTCTTATAGGCAGCTACATTTATGAAAAAGAAACACCTAACCCCCAAAAAAATTCTAACAAAAGGTTTCTCAGCTGTTTTTTTTTTAATTAGGTGTCCTAAATAGCATACTAAAAGTTTACCGAAGTTTGACTACTAGAAAGGTGTAATTTTCAAGATGGCGTCTAAGATGGGCATGAAGCCGTTAAAATATCCTACCTCCTTCATTATTTGACTTAGCAAAGTAATATTGGTGTCTAACCCCATTTTTTGGGTCTATGAATCCATTGAACTTGTCTAAATTGCATTGACATGATTACAAACTTATGGAATATATGATTTTGTGAGATTACTGTAAGGATTTATCTTTGTTTGGGGTGAAACAGAGATGTAAACGATTTAGCCTGTCATGTTACTCCTACTCAGTACGTGTTGAAACCATGCAGCCAAGAGTCTGGGTGGAATAAAAAATGTTACAAAGATTTAGGTTTTTAAAAAAAAAACTTTTGAAAAAACTTCCAATCAAAATATTCCTTCAGGTTTAATGATCACATTAGAAGTGGATGGTGAAAGAGCACAGCTATAGAACACAAAGTGCTGAGGAGGTGATCAGGTGTCACATATTCCCAGAGCAACTGCTCACGGTCCTGAAAACCATTGACCCCTGCTGTGGGCTCAATCATTTTCAGACCATTCAAGAGCGTTAGCAGTCTAACTCAGCCCTGAATTAATTAACAACGTACTCTAAGGCCCGGTTTTACAAACAGGGTTTAGATTAAACCAGGATTAGACCTCAGTTTAATTAGAAGTGGCTTTTATAAACTTGCCTTAGAAAATAAACATTACTGGTGTGCATCTTGAGACACAACAATGGCACTGGTGTATTTACTTTCAGTTAAAACAGCTCAAACATGCATTTTAGTCTGGGACTAGGCTTAAGCCTTGTTTATGAAACCGGGGAAAAGTGTCCTGATTTAAAGTAAGTCTTGTTGGGAAAAAAAGAATGAAAAAATAAAGAAAAATTTAAGAAAGAACACACTCAAAGGTTTTTGATGCAAGGAGACACGCCATGAAACATATCTTAAAATCTGTCAACTTTAATCGCTTGCAAACAATAGTTGTATTAAATACGTGTTATATTGCTTTTCCAGTTTTACTAATGAATTAAGAACAGAGATTATTCTCATGTGAAACAGGAAATGCTTCATATTTAGCAAGGCGAGCAACAATATTTACATGAAATACAAAAATAGAAATTCGCAAAATAGTATTACAGATAAATTTACAATATCCGACTCTATAAAATTAAAAATATAGTTCTATAAAAAGCTATTTAAATAATCTTACAGCTCAAGTGTTTCAGAGAGCACAGCCATTACTGTCAAATGTGTGTTTCTTATGCATTGAGTTTGTTTATATGGGCGCAAGTATAGAAAAAGTCTTGGCGAACTTCATCGTTCAACGTATGAAACCAGGAGCATGTGTTCTCCGTCTTCACAGACGTTCAGGTTTGTCAGGTGCGGTCAGGCTGTCAATGTGGTGGGCTCCAGTCATCCCGTCTCTATCTCACATGCCTTTAAGGGGGGGAAAGCAAGAGGAGAACATATTTAGAACATTTCCGGGTCCTCTGTGTCGAGGTTATTCTTGGTGTGTGCGTGGGTCCTCTTTTTATGAACACCTTTTCAATGAACTCTGAAATAGATAATAAATTAGTTGCATAAGCCCATGAACAGAAGCATTTACTGTAGTAGCCTCCCCCGACACCATTGGGGAAAGTTTAAAGAAAAACTGTACAATATGACCGCTTTCTCTGTGGCAGTTATTATCAGTGGTGAACTTCCAGTTTCAGTCATTGAAGGTCTATACATACGCATTCTTCTCTCTCTCTCTCTCTCTCTCTCTCTGAGGAAAGTTACAGCTCTCGAGAGTGTAGGAGCGCTCCAGAACAAATCAACTTAACTGTGTTAATGCATCACTGAGAAAGTGTAGGAGTGAGTGTACGATTGACCCAATGATTAGCATTTTTCAAAAACACCTGTTGTTTCAAGAGTGTCTTGTTTCTTCTCATAATCTCCATTTACTGCCCCGTATCTGATGTTTGATAAAAGGAGTGGGGTGGTATTTTTAAAAAAAATAAATATACAGAAAAAAAACAGCAATATTGTGAAATATTACAATTTAAAATAACTCTACATGAATGCATTTTTTTTTTCCACTTGCTGAATTTTCACCATCATTACCCCAGTCTTTAGTGTCACATGATCTTTCAGAAATCATTCTATGTTGCTCAAGAAATATTTCTTATTACTATCAATTTTGAAAAGGTTTTGTGGAAACTGTGATGCATTTTTAATCAATCTAATGCGTTCTTGTAAAACAAAAATCTTATATATATCTCATAAAAGATATATTTAAAGTCTGCTAAATTAGAACAAGTCATTTTGGTGTGACTTGTACAAATTGACTTGTTCTAATTTAGCAGACTTTAAGTATATCTTTTATATGATATATAAATTTTTCTTTTTTTTACAAAAACGCATTAGATTGATTAAAAATGCATCACAGTTTCCACAAAACCTTTTCAAAATTGATGTGCTTTAGTTATCTGGAAACAGTGCTGAAGTTCAACTAAAGATAAACTGAAATATATTTGCTTGTGCTAAATTGAAATTATTGCAAGTATAATTTATGTACATAGCTTGCATTTAAAGACTAATTTTAAGAGATCATACTATCCTTACTAATAGTGGTATTAAAATTGTGTATATGTGTATATATATATATATATATATATATTAATTTTAAGAAATGTGCATTGTGCAATAAACTAGTACTCCAAAAAAATGTAAATTATAGTATTAGATCATATTAAGTCTCAAGCAATATGTCAGTAAATATGTTAATGGATTTGTAGTAAACTTATGAAATAAACATTTTAAATACATTTTGGTATAGGTTTTTCCTAGGGTGGTCAAAAACAAAGATATCATGCATTAAACCATGCTGCAAATTATTTTCATCATTTGACCCCAAAAACAAAAGTAGTCTTTAAATTCATGTCCTTCATGCAGCACTTACTCGCTAATGTTCTGTCAAGGTCAGCAATGAAGTCCTCTAGCTCTTTAGTGTCTCCAAGTTTAGCTGAAGAGAACAATACACAGTTGATCAAGACAAAGAACACGAAATACACCAAAACAATACTAATTAGTCTAAAATATGTAAACAGAAATGTTTGAACTCACGTTTAGGAGATGTGATCAAGGGACTGTTTGAAGAAGTGGAGAAGACGCTGGGAGAGTTGAGCTTCTCATCACTGAAGCTGAAACTGTTTCTGTTCAAGGACTCGGCACCTGTTACAGAAGGAAGAAGAGACAGAGGAAGTCAGAAATGAAAAATGGAAGCTTCCTGTATGTGTACAGCATGTGTTCCTCTGACTCCACACCAGTGGTTCTCAACAGGTGGCTCACGACCCTAATAGTGATAGAGCGCAGACAGCAGGGAAAAGGCAAAATTATAATGCAATGCAACTAAACAAACCAATCTGTTGTGATTGTGCATGCCGGAAACGAAATCCTCATGACCATATTTGAATTTCTGCTCCAGAGGCCTCCTTATCACTTGTATACAGTGATATGAACAGTAACTATTTTACTGAATCAATTTGAGTTCTCTTCTTTCTGAAATCACATGCAAAGTGGATTTGCATGTCTGAAAACATTTATCTTCTTGACATGTCGACAAAACACAGCAAACTCCTCCAAGCCTCACCTACAACTACAGAGTTTCAGGGTCAAAGTAGACGTTCACCGGCAGCCAATGAAGACCAATGAAGGCAGGCATTATGCAAATTTGCAAAACAGGAAGGAATTGCTGGCGACTCATTTCAGCAGCCCAGCGTTGATAACTTTATTTGTCGTTTAACTATGAAGACCTTTTAAATTCAGCTACACTGCACACTGCATGAAAGGTAACATTTGAAAAGGCATAATAAGGGCATTTCACTCGCAAAATCTGAACACATTTCTTTGCCGAGAATTGAAATCCAAGGGACAACTAGACAAACTCTAGTCTAAAAGTCTATAGAGTTTAGTGAGCGTTCATTAAACCAGTGGAGCGGCACTGTTCTCTACCACACAGGCTTGCTAAACATGTGCACTGACCCATAACCAGAGGGGGTAGGGGGTGTCGTGGGGGTTAATCCGTGCTAGCAGAGCAGGTTGAGTTTGTAATCAATGCATACTCCTCTAATAACAGCTTCTCTCTCGAGCGAGCACACTTTCAAAGCAGTTTCAACCGTGACCCAGCCTCCAGCAGGTTAATTTAAAGCCAAAGATCTGACCCGGTGCGCCACACTCCATCTTAAAAAAAAAAAATTGTTTACACATTCTTAGTTAAAGGCAGAACAGGCGTGCTATTACACGGAAGCTCAACTTTGCCCAACGCGTCAGTCATTAGACCCTCCTGCCTACGTGCTTGAAGCCCTAATAAGTACAGAGTCCTCTCAGCTAACACTGCACCATCTACATTAGTGGTTCACAAGCCTAAAATTGGTCAAATAACAATATAATTATGGATTATTAGTATAGTGCATTAAATACACTTGTGAAAAAGAAATACGCTTAATTGTATCGGATGTGCACTTGTAGTGTACTTCAAATCTTAAAAAAGAACTGTGCATGCAGATGATAAAATATTAAGTGTACTTAAAGTGAGTGCACTTTTATGATTGTAACTTAACACACTTAAGTACAATTTTAAAAAGTGTAATGTCAAATAAAAAGTTTTGCTTAAAAGTACATTTTAAATCATCGTGTTTATAATCTTTTGTCGTGCTTTAAGCACTTATTTTGATGTTGACATGATAAAGCACATATACAGCATTTGACTATAATTTTAACTGTAGTGTGTTATTTGAAATTACCTTTATATTTTAAATGTACTAAATTGCTATATTTTAGTCTACCATAAATGCTTGTCAGTAAATTTAGTTTAACTATATTACCAATTATTTTAACCACTTTAACCATATTGTGGAATTACATATGATGTACTTAAGTCCTACTTAAGTCAAACAGTTAAATTTAATTTAATTGCAATTAACATGCAGCTAAGTGTCTAAATATGTTACATCCGATTTGCACATAATAATGATTTTAAAGTATATTATTTCTGTATTTTAACCACTTTACCCATATTGTGGAATTACATATGATGTACTTAAGTCAAACAGTTAAATTTCATTTAGTTGCAATTAACATGCAGCTAAGTGTCTAAATACGTTACATCTGTTTTGCACTTAATATGATTTTAAAGCATATTATTTCTGTTTTTTTAAAGTATGCTAAAGCGTACTTCTTTTTATCGAGAGTATGCTTTTGAAAGGAAGGAGAAAACACTTCCTTTGTTGATGTTTAATCCCATGTTAAATCCTGTAGTCCTGAAGCAGAACCGCTTGAAGCCACTAAACTAGATCAATGGCACGTGTGATAAAAATGGCATCAGGATTGATTGCCAACATGCAGTTGACGGATCCATGAGGGTGATTCAAAGCACATAACACCATTCTGATCCCCTGACTGCACCACAGCACAGATTCTGACACATTCCCTGCTTGTTCCAGAAGGAAAACTGTGAGATAAAAAGAGATCACTTGTTGCTTAATCATTAAACACAAGATCACTTCCAGAACAAAAGTGCCCATTTATGCTGACATGGTTCCGATCCTTTTGAACCTTTCTATGCAATTATAAGCGACCAAATAAAAGTCTTGCATGATGCAATCCTTGTTCAGATTCTGGATAATCTGCAGTTGATTGACAGAATAATACAGTGAACCTGTGTGTGTCTCATTACAGCTGCAACGGAATAGTGAGAGACTATAAGCCAGGAAAATTAGCCAACCAATATTTGCATATGTGTGTGTCAAGGTTTTTTTATTTTGTTTTTTAAGGGTTTTTTTTTTAAGTTCGAATAGTCTATCTACTCTCAGTGTCCCAGTAGCAGGACACTTGGTTTGACAAGTAATCATCATGGAAACAGTACTTTACAAATTTTTAGTGGGCTCATTATTTGTAATTTGTACTCCAAATTTGGAACACTTGGTTAGACATAATGGCTGTGATTTTATTTGGTAAAATATATATTTTGTAAAAAGAAAAGGCCTATTTACTTTACATTAAACTTGTATAACTTTTACACTTTCTTTTTTTCTAAGTGCTTTCACTTACTGAGTGCCTTACTTTAGGCATGTTGCAAAGTATGCGTTAACAATCATGAAAGGGGTTGTGACATGACAAGGCAGTTAGCAGGTTAAAAGACGTTTAATGAAACCCAGCTGCTGTTTGTGCTGGTGAGGCTCAGATTAGATTAGATTAGATCAGATTATGCAGTGTTCAGTGTAACTGAGGCTGTGGAGCTTAAATCGTGACGAGATTACGACCCAAAGGCACGAGCAAGCGCTGCTATCATATGAAACCTCTTGACACGTCAAATTCAACTTTTGCCTGCATACTAGACTAGTGCACTGCATACTGCATACTTACTCTCAGAGTCGCTGATGCCGCTGTCGCTAACGCTCGCACTGCTCCGTCTCTTCATGGTTTTCAAGTGTTCATCATATCTGAAGTGCCTCTTTTCCACGGGGGACGTGAAATCCTCAATGACAGCGTCGAATTCACACAATACGGCGTTCAGACCGTCATCCTCAAGAAATGCTAGAAAATGCATGCAAAGTTTGTTTCAGTCTGGATTGGACAGAATATATATATATATATATATATATATATATATATATATATATATAAATGTAGGCTAGGCCTATAGCCTACAATATAGCAATATATTATATGATCTACGCAATATAATATGATTCTTGCATTGGTTTAGTACGTTTGGATTTGAACTAATCGTTGGCTACTTAATTTTACTATTAAAATGTATTATTAAACATTAGACTTACATTTGCTGTGTGACTTTATCTTTGGAGACTTCATCTTCCACGCTTCTTTAGTGTCCAATTCCGAAATATCCGATATAAGATCAAATTCCTTCAGTTTCCCCTTGTTAACGCACACTGTGTTTGAGCTCGTGCGGTCGGTGGGGTTGTTTTAAATGTGTCCCGGCTCCGGGAGGGGGCGTGGCCTGACGGAGGCGTGTCGGACGTGGAAAACGCGTCGCCATTGAGACGCTCGCGCTTGTTTTAGCCCTCCGTGTGAGTTACAGCAGAGCCTCTGAGTTACAGGGACTGGCGTCATTCACTCCTGAAGTATGTGTTTGTAAACAGCTAGTGTGACACATGCACGACATCAGTGATGCTTTATTTTTAACCATACCTCCATCCTAGTCAGTGGTCACTCTTCATTTTTCGATGACTTCACTTGTTGAAATGTTTGACCAGCAATAGAGTAATAATGTTACAGGAAAAATGCTTGCGAAGTGTGTTATGTAATAGCCGGAATGTATATCTCAAAATGCATTACGGTTCTAAAAGCCCTTTGGAATGTCCACACAATATAAATTGTTCAAATATAGGCCAATATTAAAGTTTTACTTTTAAATGTCAAAGAGTTAAAAATAAGTTTAAAATTTTTTTTTTATATTTGATCAACGGGTAACACTTTACAATAAGGTTTCATTAACATGAACTAATAATGGACTGCTCTTTGTTCATGTTAATTTCAACATTTATTAAAATAAAAATAGCCCATTTGTTAACATTAGTTAATGCACTGTGAACTAACATGAAAAAATAAATAAATAAAATAAACAGCTGTATGTATTACCTAACGTTAACAAAGTGTAACAAATACAGTAACAAATCTATTGCTCGTGGGTAGTTCATGTTAAAATAATGTATTTTTAATAGATGATTGTGATAAATATTCCAAAAGTACTTGGTGCTTTACCAAATAATGTAATATTTTGAATGTAATATTAATGGTAATGTTTAATGTAATGTTTACAATGGTAAACTTGTAAAATTGAATAGAACTTTCTTGATTGTATCACTTTTTATAAAAATGCTTTGTGTGTGTGTAACCCTAACTTTTTTTTTTAGTCTTTTAGCTTTTTCCTCTTATAGGTGTTAAATTCAAAGGATCCCCATTTTCTGTGTCAAGTCTAATCATTATCCTGCTGTTGTCATTCATTCATAAAACTGATCTGGTCCAAGTTAAGTTTCTGCAGACATCTGGTGGTGACTAAATGAATGTGCACTCATGTTATTCACTCATGGCAATAAGATTAGATTCAGAGACAGAACCTTTTTTAATGGCCAAGCCAGGTGTGTTCACATGTCACATTGTCATCTTGATGTGCAATAAGCACATAAACAGCAGGTTATGCGGAAGCGCAGAAATCTTTTATTACAGGCCAAACAAGACATGAAAACATTTCCTACCTTCACCACACGCAGTTTAGCAGTAAGCCAGACAATGTTTTTGAGGCCAACACTTTTTAAATTGAAAGGAAGACATTTCTTCTTAGTGTGAGGAACATTTTGAAAGTCTAAAGTGCTATTTTCCTTTTTTAGGAGTACAACTGCTAAATCATTCTGCTTGTCGTTTTTTAGTGCGGGGTGTGGGATTTGTCTGTTTAAAAAGAGTTCTTCACACCTTTGGTGGTGGATTTAACAGGTAGACACATGGTTAAACAAGACATGTGTTTGCAGCTGCACTTGCCTGCTGACTTTAGGGTTTAAATGCGCATGGAAGGTGTTAAAGACGACACTTACAGTCTGAGAGGCTGAAAACTGCTCAGTTCACAAAATAAAAAGTTTGAGGATTTTCTGAATGTTGCTGTCAAAAAAACAACAATAGCAATTTTAATGAGTGATTTCCATTATGACTAAATATATATATATATACAGCATTTAATTAGAAAAATATAGTCACTATAGAAATATAATGACTATTTAACATTTTTATCATTTCCGTGACGTTTCCAGGCTTTTAAATTAAAATAATTCCTGATATGGTCATAATTTCCATTACATTGGGAACAGTCTCTAAATTGCATGTTGTCAGCCCCATTGTTTTGTCTCAAGATACACATCAGTAATGATTTTTTTTTTAAGGCACTTTTATAAAAGCTATTAAATGTCCTAATTGCACTATGGTCTAATCCTGGCTTAATCTAATCCCTGTCTGTGAAACAAGGCCTTACAATGTATCTTTGACCCAGATCACAACTATTATAAGATGTATACATTTCATGAAATAATAATTACTTATTGCACATTTTATTTTCATATTCACTTCCAAACACATCCGAGAATCAATCCAAACTACACAATGACAACGTATTTCTCTCAAGTAAAACATTATACATGATGTCAAATAATCAAGACAAACTTTAGGCATGATACAATCTCAATTTAAAGTGCAATACAGTCCCGGTTTTCCAAAATAATATGGTTGTCAAATCAAATCAAAAGATTGAAATCAAGCCTTAGAGAAGTGCAGGAGTCTCATTGATGCGGATTTGCTTGTTAAAGACATTAAACATCACTAGTATGTTAGAGGTTTTAACGCACGTTTTGCAGATATTTCACATTGAGGCTGGAATATATGTGCTCTCATTTAGTTAAGATTATGGGTGTTTAAGTGTTTAATCTTTAATTGGTTTCAATGCTTACGATGCTCTGAATGCTTTTGTCAGTGGCGCCCACTAGTGTTCATACTGGAGCTATAGCTTTAGTAATGCATTACACAACTCTCCATTTCTCTCTGGTTCAGTTCAAATCATGCTTGCATAATATATTTTTATATTTCTAGTGCAAAAATAATAGTTTTTTTTTTTTGTATCCGTAAACGTATCAGAAAGCTCATGGTGCACAAGAATTAGGGCCATTGTGTTGTTTCTGATCGTCAGGCATTCTCTAGATTGCCAGAATTTTAAATAGACTATATAGCAACCTTGGAATTTTCACAAAATAGCCATAACCATTAAATATGACATTGAAAAAAGCATGCAAAGTTATTATAGACAGAAAATATTATAACAGGCTCCTGAGTCAAGTCTTCATCTCTTTGAGCAGGTTTCTGGAGAGTTGCAAATGCTCTTGAAGGGATAATTCACGCAAAAATTGAAAATCTGTCATCATTTACTCAACCTCAAGTTGTTCCAAACCTGTATGAGTTTCTTTCTTCTGTTGAACACAAAAGAAGATATTTTAGAGAACGCTGGTAATCAAACAGTTGATGGTAACCATTGCCTTCCATTGTATTTTTTTCCTACTATGGAATTCAATGGGTGCCGTCAACTGTTTGATTACCACCATCCTTCAAAATATCTTTTGTGTTTAACAGAAGAAACTCATACAGGTTTGGAACAACTTAAGTCATGACAGAATTAAGATTTTTGGGGGAACTAACCCTTTAAATAATAATATGCCGCAATAGGGCAGGTACAACAAACACCACTTGCTTCATAATACGAGGTTTAAAACGAAACCCCTAACTGATCCATTGTTTATGCTTCCAAACACATTTGTAAACTGCATGTGCACCAAATAAAATCCTGTAGGTCTACACACTCCACTGTAATCACTCTTTCTGCCTTGACTTCATACAGAAAGTGGAGTACACCCTCAAATTTTCCAATAAACCTAAAGTATTGCATGGAACTGACTATACAGGCCGAATTGTATTAGCATAAACAGTGCGTCTTCTCCTGTTGACCAGCGAGCTGTATGAAGTTGCTCTCGCTTGGCTGTTTCAGTCTCAGAGGCTTGTGATTCTTCAGCCTGTAGGCCAACGTGAGAAAAATAGCATCTACGTGCTCTTTTTCTGCAGGGTCTCTTGCAGATGTCTCAAAAAGAGGAAAGTTGTAGCTATCAGCCAGTCGCTGAGCTGAAAACGTGGAAACCTCTCTCGTTTCTCTTAAGTCACATTTGTTCCCAACTAGGATGCGGGGTACCATAGGAGGGACCGAGTGCCGTACACACTCCTCAATCCAGTCCGGCAGACTCTCGAACGAAGCCAGACTGCTCACGTCATACACAAAGATGATGGCGTGGACATTGCGGTAGTAATGCTCAACCATACTCTTCCTGAAGCGCTCCTGTCCAGCCGTGTCCCAGATCTGCAACTGAGAATGCAGTTTACATCATAGTAGACAATAGTAAAGGGAAGAACAGGGCTAGGTGTCATAAGGGCTTTATCTAAGCAGTTTTAGGTCCAAAGTCGTATTATACACGTGTGGAAAATCAGCACATGAATTGACATGCAGTTAATTCAATTATTTGAATGATATATTTAACCAGTACTGAACTAGCCCCACTGTACCCTGTTCAAGATTACTACTCTGGGTTTATTAACCTCCAGATGCTGGCAGAGTCAAAATACTAAAAATTATTTGCATCAACATTTGTTTAACCACTAATTTTTTATTTTTTTTTAACCACTAACTGAACATTAAAAATATTTAAACTTGTGTTTGTGCACCACCGAGAAGACTTCATAATAACAGTCAGCAACAAAACACAGTGAACCCATCGTGGAGAAGAATGTAAATACTTGTTATTCAAGGTCAAAACTCTTTTTTTCAGCTTTTCATATCTGTGAAATAAACTCTACGGGTCCTTACCTTTATGTATTCTCCATCAAGTTGCAGGGTCCTCTCTCTAAAATCTACTCCTATTGTTGCCTCGGGGTTTTTGAGAAATTTCCCACCGCAAAACCGGTAAGTTAGACAGGTCTTTCCAACATTTGAATCCCCAATAACGATAATTTTAAACACCCTCGACTGAGGACAATCATATTCCTGACACGAGTCATTCGCGAGACTGTCTTTTGTGTAAATCGTCGCGAATTCATTGCTTCCCGTTGTGTTTTCTATTGCCATAGCTCTGATACACGAAAAATATCGCGAGAGGATAAGAACGAGAGCTTAACGTGAACTCTCATGACCTGGCTTCAGCTTCAGCTTTGTTCATTATACGGGCTCTAAAGTAGCTACTTGGTTCTTTTTATATATATTAAATGTAACTTTATGTCCCTTTTACACTTAATTTTCCTTGTTAAATAAACATTACATAAAAAGAGATACCAAATACAATTCTATAGAATATATTTTGTATTTTTACACTCAATATGAAATCTTTTTTTTAAAACCAAGTATAAAATTAATCAAGTTAGTGTTTTATGCATTTTTACATTTATTCCAAAATAATGACAAAAGGCATTTTAAACAATGAACATTACTTGTGAACTAATGTTGTTCAGCTTTTCTTTTTGATAGTCAATTTATTTTCAGCAGTCATCAAACTTAGACACATGGTCAAAGACAGACACGACACAAAGATGTACCTTTAATTTCCCCAAACTGATTGCTCACTAAAACCATATCACACCTTTCACATTAATCGCCCCATCAATCTTCAATAAAAATCTTAAGTATTTTTCTGATCATCACTTTGGGTCCTTTTTGGGATAGTTCATCCAAAAAAGAAAATGTTTTCAAAATTAAATCACCTTCATGTTGTTCCAAACCTGTCTGTTGAACACAAACAAAACTATTTTAAAGAATACTGGTTGACGTAGTCATTGATTTTCCATAGTAGGTGGGAAAAAAAATACCATGGAAATCAATGAACTATCCCATTAATAGAGTCTGTTAGCCTGACTGTACCCTGTTCAAGATTCCGCGTAACACTGCTCTTTTTTTACTAACCTCTGGTTAGACTCAAAATACTAACAATTCATTGTAACTTATCATAAACCTGAGACAATGTATCATTCACTGGCCATATAAGTTAAACCGTTGTTTAATACTCATAGTACAAACAGCATGAATTTCAAGTAGGTTTTACCCGGCCGCAGTGGGGTGAGCCACTTCAAACCAGGCTAATAATTCAAAATACTTTGCAGCATGTTTCCATTTGGCTCTGTTATGCACACTTCCAAGTTTGACACTACACTGTAAAAAAATGCTGGATCAAATATGGACAAACCCAGCCATTGGGTTACATTTTTTAAATTACTTTTTTTTTTAACCCAACGGTTGTTTTTTTTTATAGTGTAGTTACTGAGAACTGCAGACTACCAGTTCTCATCTGAAAAAGAGCTTGAGCTGCCAGAGTCCGAGTCTGCATCCGTCAATCCATCGAAGTCCCAGTCAGCACTGGAGCCGCTGTCGTCATCCTCCTCTGAGATGAAATTATGACCTGACCCCAAGCATGCAGTATATACCCGGGTGGAGATGCTTATGGATCCGAAGGAGGAACCAAACATTGTGGCTAAATTTTTCCATGAGTCCCGAGTGGGATCATATTCATGTATAATAAGCCTGTTTTTGTTGTGATGGACTATTGCTATAGTTAGAAGCAGCAGTTTGCTGTCGTGTTGCACAACTTGGTAGTTGAGAGCACTGCTGTCGATAGGAATGTCTCCGATCCGCCTCCATTCTCCCCGTGCTGGATTATACGCTTTGACCACAGGGATATCGCACAAACAGATAATCTGCTCCTGGAAAACACAGGCTTTGTGGAGTTTACTGCGTTTCAGAGAGCCCCGCTGGAGCCAGTGGTTTTTCTTCGGCTCGTAGCTGAGCATCCTCCTCTTGTTTACCACATAAAGCCGCTCGTTTACCGTCACAACCTGCATCTTTCCCAAAGAATGAGGCAAAGGGGCTACAAAAACCCATTGGTTCCTTTGAATGCTATAACATTCTACTTCCTTGAGTCTGGCATCCGATACCGGGTCCCTGCCACCCAAAATGTACAGGTGCCCGTTGAGGTAGCCGATGTACGAGTGCATTCTTCGGAGAAGTCGTTCCGCAAGCTCCTGCCAACAATTTAACAAGGGATTGTAGACCCAAAAGTGATTGGACAGCTGTGATGCGAGATACAGATTGTTATCCGGTGTGGAGCAGACCAAAAATGTCTCCGTAGGAGAGTGTTTGAAGTTCTGATTGGTGAGGTTAATGACCGGGGACGCCATTGAAAAGATGTCCTCCGTGTAGGGATCATAGCACATGAAAGGCTCATTTGGCCGTCCAAAAAAAAGCACCATTTCTTTTGCACTCTTGCCAATTCTGTGTTTGGCAGCATGTACACCCTTTGAAATCTTGGCGCTCTGCTCATCGGCAGCCCCATCTAAAACATCCAAAAGATGTTTCCTTATAAAAGGCTTTGATTTAAGGCCATCTAGATAAACCCTGTCTTTCTCAGAAAACAAGGACCACCGAACGCATCTGAGGACCTGCAATGCAACTTCTGCATCCACATGCAAATTATTCTCAATCCACTGTATTGCAAACGAGCACACTTTCAGTTCGCAGTCCACATCCAGAGAATCCAGTGTGAGGATCTCTTTAATCTGCTTCAGGTCCAGCTCACAAAGCTCTCGCACACTCGAACTGAGCTGGTTAAAGTTTTTCGCAATAAACGCTTGAGCCTTGCTCTTCAAATCCAGATTGTCAAAGGTGTCGGCAAACTTCAAAATCCCTGCACAGTTAGAAAGGTCCAGCCTTCTTGTCATGAAGTTAGCACAAGCTTGCCGAATATACTCCAGCTGCAGCATGTTTGCAGATGCATAAAGCCTCTGCACGTTGCTCTCAGTGATTGACACTTTGCCAGTGTAACAGTAATCAATAATGGCAGCCATTGAATCGGCGTCCACTTCGTGAATGGTGACATTTCTCTGCGTGCTTTCGTACAGTCCTCCTGTAAACATGCTCTTAAAATAAGGACTTGCTGCTGCCAGAATATTTCTGTTGCATTGGAAAACTTTCCCAGCGTGAGAGGAAACGCTTCGGTCCTCTGACTCCGGGTCAGGCTCCACTTCGATAGTCACGTCGACTAACAACTGCGAGTCGTAGAACAATTTCAGCTCTTTCATCAAACTTGAAGCGTGATTCGTGTCCTCGAGCTCTTCCGGACCACAGAAACAGTTCACCGAAGCCATATTGAGCCCGTTTTCTCCGTCCGAACGCAACTAAATCTCGTCAGTGAGCGGCAGAGGCATTACATCTCTCTCAGCTCTGCTATTAGTGTCATGAGAACAACGAGCTATGAGCCGTATGCGCCGCTTCTCTGTTGCCTGACAATGTAGCCATGTTTCATGAATGAAACGCGGTCCTTTTTGACTGTACGAAATGCTTTTCAGGATAAATTATCGGCAGCGGTGATGTCCGTCCCCTTTTAATTTCATTTCATTCGGCTTTTGATCTTGAGACATCGACGATGCGTGTCACACTCAAGCTTGCTAGCTACCGCTGACTCTGAGCTGCAACAGACACGGCGCTGATTGGTCACATCGGCTGTGTCTCAAAGCATGTTTAGCTTCATACATAGACAGCATTGCCAGTGTTGCAAAAAAATGCTGGCTATGGCTATGAAACCCACGACCTTTCTAGGCAGCTCACTAGAAGTTGAGACGTGGGCTTGTAATTCTCAGCGCTCTGTATTATGTTTGGTTGGCCTGCTAAAGCTTTGTTCAGAATAATAGCCAGCCTCAACATCATATAGGCTACAATTTAGTTTCAAATATTATAGCTATGTGTTTTAAAATAGCAATTTGTCTCATTGACAATTTGACTGATTAAAGTAGCCTATAATTTATGACAATTGTAGATAAAAAAAATCTAATTTATTTTACACACACACTTATATGTATGCGTATGTTTTTTTTTTTAAATCTACAATTTTTATAAATGATAGTCTATAATATATAATAAAATAAAATAAATTTTAAAAAACCTGGCATTCAATTTACATGTCATAGTAGAACGTGTATTTAGCTGTTAAGTTCTTTTAAGTTTAGTGCTCAATTAAACATTGCAGACTTATAACGACCTTATAGGCCTTCTCAAATTTCCCCTTTTCCTAAGTGTTGTTACTTTATGGTTTTGTGATAACATAAATAATTGCCTTTTGATGATTCCAGTTTGATTCCAGTTTGGTATCTGCACAGAGGCTCCGTCCAGTTTTTCAGTTCTGATGAAACATGTTGACAAATCCCTCAATAGCAAACACAAAAACCTTATTCAAAGATTTTCAAAATAGTTTTTCTTTTCCTTATTGGAGGTTGTAGTTTGCTGATTTGAGGGAGGTTCTTAATGGGGTATTAACAGTGTAGAAAGATAATTTCATAAAATCAGTTTTGTTATCACATGACACGTGATAGACGTTTTTAAAAATACAAACCATTAGTTGCTCGACAGATAATGAACATAATAATTTATAATTTACTTATGGCTGTAATGTCCCACTTATGTAAAAAGCCACGTACAATTTATCATAATGCTGATTAAGAAAAGGCAAAAAATACCCGGATGGCCTTCTACTTCCGGCGAATTATACTTCCCACTACTTCATTGAATTAATTAATCATCATCAATTAATTATCCCCACCTGTGTCTAGTTTCTCATTTTCCTTTTGTGTGCATATATAATCTTCCTCAGTGCAGTGTCTGATTCTGCTTGCGTTTTGCTTTCCCCTTGGGTTGTATTTTTCATTTTCCTCCTGAATATCTTCTTTATATATAAACACAGCAATTAGATCCATTTATCTTCTCCTTGTCTGCAAACCGACACAGATACGCCATATATGTAGTGTAGATTACAATTGTATTATTTGTTAAATGATTAAAATGCTATACTACTCATAAAATTGTCTTCTGTGCTCAGGCAGGATTTATTATCATTTTAAAAATAACATTTGATTAAAGTAGATTTATCTGTTTTTAACTAGATCAGGCTCAATAAAGCAGCACTGCAGTTTTGCCCGAACACATTAAAAGCTACAAGTCTGACTGAAAAAGACACAGTCATGTCCTTTTTTATTATCAAAACAACAACATGTGAGTAAATGCAATGTGCATTTACTATAAATGTACATTTATATGAGTGTTTAATTGAATGACAGTTTGATTGGTATCTGGAAGAAGAGTTTCATTCTTTTCATTCATTTCAAATAAAAATTGTGGGTTCGAGTCTCAGTGCTGGCAAAACTAGAAAAGCTAAGCTAAGGCAAAGACTTTTTAAAGATCCCTACAGGAAAAAAAAATGGAAAAAATACTTCTGGAACCAGCGTCGCTGAAAAAGGCACTCTACAATGAAAAATATTTCATTAAATTTAAACAATACAAATTTAGATTTAAAAAAAATGTCACTAAGTGAAGGGCATTTTCACTAGTAGTTTCAGACTTCTACCAATATATTAGTTATAGCTGCGATTAAGCACATTTATCCTTCTCAAAGCATCTTTGTTGTCTATGGTCTTATGGACGGTAATGATGAAGGGGAAGGCAGACGGCAGCTCGACTCTGCGGCTGAGCTTTTGATGACCCCAGTGCAAGCAGTGCAGTCTCTCAGCCAGGTCCCGACGGCCCGCACGCTCAAGACCGTCCTGCAGAAGCTTGGTTTTGTTCGGTTTGTCCCAGGAACGCTCATACCTGTCAATCATTACTACTACTAAATAACACAATGACTCTCAACTTTAATAATAAGGGCTCGTTTAAAAACATTAATAAACAGATACATTTAACAGTGTGTTAGATTAATACACACCATGATTCCAGCATTCTCTGAGCCTGGACCCTCTTTTCTTTAGATGTTGCATGAAACTGTCTGACTTCATTTCTGGTGAATCCAAGTTCAAATGCTAGAACGTTCCATTCAAACCCCAACTGCTTAGCAATCTCCTGCACGGATTTCATATTGATCACAGCATCCTAAAGGACAAAGAACAGTATGCATGGACATGGAGGCATATTATTGGGGTGCTTACTACTAATTTATAACAATATTGGGTTAAACGTTTGTTTAATTATACAAGTACTGAGTAATATTAACTACATATTACTATAGGATTATGGTTTGGTTTGCATGTAATTATGCACAATATATGATAATTACAATGTAACATGTGTAACAACACTGTAAAATAAAGTGTTACCCAATATTTTAGAGATGACTCACCTCTTGTGCTTTGTTTGGCATTTTATCCACTTATACAAGGATTCTAGTTGGTTCCACGGCAAGAAACGGTACCATTTAATGTCTCTCTACATTTGACTTAAATGAGTAATTCAAATACTAATTAATTTCACAATCCAAATACTTTCTTTAAAACACTTACAAATTTGCAGTGTTGTTGCATATAGACGTCAATGTCATTGCAGTGGTCAGTGGTTGTCATAGGGACTGTCCAACACAAATCTGCCTGGTTAAAAATTAAAAACATCTCAAGGTTTTACATTAAGAATTCATTTAGTAGAGTGAGTGTAAACTTGAAAACTATTTAAGAATTTCTTCTCAGTTTAGCTCATGTAGACGATAACGTAACTCAATTGAAAGTTATACTTTGAGTTTTGCAGAAATATTAATCTTGAATTTTGTCTGAAATATTTTAGGTTTGATGAAACACAAATAAAAGGGACAACTGACTTCCAAAGGAAATCAGTCCTTCTGTTCTGAAAGAGAAAAAAACTATATGAGATCATAAGATCGTGCGAACAAATTAACTTCATGTCAAAGGATGTCATAATCAGTTCAAAAGTATGCTTGGGTTCGAGCCAAATTCCAAAGTCTGAGCTCAACATATACATGATACATGCCAGATACACATATTTTATAATATATCTGGTTAAGTGTGAACTTTTGAGTAAATCAGCTTAAAAAGGTACACAACTTTTGTGTTTTTGTACTTTGATAACACATAAAACTCCTTTCTGTTGTAAAAAGGATATGCAGAGTAGTGCTATGTCTGCAGATTAAATACACCAGCCCATATGATTAAATTAATTTATCTTCTTTTGCAAACTTTTTGTCAGATGTATTAAAGATGAAAAAAAAAAAAACCTCAGATTCTCTTGAACATCATATTTCAATTCCCTATCACTGACATCCTCTGATCAAAGTACAGTACAAAATAAAAATACTTTCAGTTCAAAAGCCTTTTATTCAACATTGGAAACATAACATCCATTCCCTTCCATCATAAACCTATTCTTAAAAAAAGAGAAACAAATGTTACTATTTGATGTGCAAATGTCTTCTCCACAGTGCTCTGTATCATGAGCATCATGTAAACATACAATCTGGAATGGCTGCCATTTACTCGAAGCTGCATTTGTACTTCTAAATACAGTGTTTTACAGTCCATTTAGTCTGCTTTTACAAATGCAATATTCATCTTGCCACATGTTGGAAAACAAATTGACAACATTATAAAAAGTAATGCAACTTGCACAACAGAAAGCAATCTGGTACGACTCTGGCACTACTGGTTATCTAATGTAACAATGCAAGTTAACAGTAAAAGTGCTATTTGAGAGACAGCAAATGACTTATGCGTATTAAATCAATATAGTTCATTTAATGGTCATATCTAATTAATAATGTAATTTGAAAATTGGTTTCAGTGACTAAAAAATTGTGCTGCAGTTAGGCAAATTATTTGCACGTAAACACTTGTATGCATAATGCTCTGGGTTTCAGCCATCAGGCATATTGCAGTGGTGCTGTATTGCATTTATTAACAGTATTTTTCAACTTTGAATCACTTGACGTTATTTTACATCCACTTAAGATCTAAAAGCAACAGGTGTGCCCAGCCAGCTGGGCCTGAAACATTTAAGGTCAGAGTGCAGAGCAGTTTAATAGCAGCCGTCCCTCCAACTCCCGTCACGCAGGGCGCTCAGGGCTGATACACTCTTCGGCGGGGTCAGGAAACTGCAATCACAGAGACTCGGGTTAATGACAGCAATACTTCAGAGTATACATTGTAGTGCATTTAAAATAACCAATAAAGACCAGGTTGTTACCATTACAAACAGTTAAAAAAATGACAGCATGTACTATTTTTTTGGAATTACCCAAATATTAAAAGTTTGAATTTTTGTATTGTTTTTAAAGGTCTTTTATGCTCTGCAAAGCTGGATTTATTGAGCAAATATACATATTATATTTTTTTATATTTAAATACATTTTAAAATGTCATTTATTATTATTTATTAAAATGTTTGTGGAAACTGTGATGCACAGGATTCTTTAGATGAACAGAAAGTCCAAAAGAACAGCATTTATTTGCAATAAAAATCTTTTGTTGCATTAAAAATTTCTTTACTGTCACTTTTGATCAATTCAATGCATCCTTGCTAAAAAACAAAACTTAATGATGCACTTAGGGTAATGCAGATAAAATTGAAGATTGAACTTTATTGAAATGTATTGTAAAATATTTTACATTTACAACTGCAAGATAGTTCCAATAATTAGTATTTCCTGTCATTATTTGAGATCTGACAAGTGATACATATTGTATCCTGATTAAAATTGGAATTTAATGCAACAATATTTGCTCAATATAAAAGCCTTCCAATGAAAATAATTAAATTTTTTGTTTATGTCCACATCATTAAACATAATTAAAGGGTTAGTTCACCAAAAAATGAAAATTCTGTCAGTATTTACTCACCCTCATGTTGTTCCAACCCCGTAAGACCTTCGTTCAACTTCGCAACACAAATTAAGATATTTAAGATATTAAGATCACTCCTGCATACTAGTCCATAGGCTTCTTGAGGGAATGACTTGCTGTCCTCAAAGTCATTAAAGACATCGTTAAAATAGTCCAAGTGACTACAGGGGCTCAATATTAAGTTTATCAAACGACGAGAACACTTTTGTGCGCAAAAAAACAACAAAAATAACGACTTTATTTCAACTATTCGTTTATTTTTCCCTTTGCGCGAGTCAGGTTACTAGTTTAATAGTGTAAGCTTCTGTTATTGTACGTCACAAGCATCACACACATGACCAGCGTCGGCCAATAGTGAGCCTACGTCTGACGTAGCTTTACGCAATCACACTACGTTAACTGACTACAGGCCCATGGAGAAGGAAGTGAATAGTTGAAATAAAGTCGTTATTTTTGTTTGTTTTTCCGCACAAAAAGTATTCTCGTCGTTTGATAAAGTTGAAATTGAGACACTGTAGTCACTTGGATTTTTTTAACGATGTCTTTAATGACTTTTCGATGCCAGCAAGAGTCATTCCCTCAAGAAGCCTATGGACTAGTATGCAGGAGCGATCTTAATACCTTAAATATCTTAATTTGTGTTCCGAAGATGAACGAAGGTCTTACGGGGTTGGAACAACACGAGGGTGAGTAAATACTGACAGAATTTTCATTTTTGGGTGAACTAACCCTTTAAGCCTATAACTAGTCTGTAGTCACTAGTCTAGTCTTTGCAGTTTGTAAAATTGTCTGAAGTTGAGCGGTGGCCATATTTGTTTACGTGAATAGGAAAAGTGGTATAAACATAAATGTTTAACAGCAAAACACTCGTCCTCTCTGGAATTGCTAAAGTCCACAAGCAAATTGTAAATGATTACCTGCGTACGGGCTGGCCGATTTTACTGCGTGTGGCCCCACTTGTCCCGACAAAGGAAGCAGGTCGAGGTAGAGCACTGCGACTGGAAGAGGAGGTGCTGGGTTTGCTTGGGTGGGGGATATTACTGCTGGAGAGACAGTTGAGACTAACAGAGGAAGGCATCGTGGTAGAACTCTGTATCGTAGGGCTCACGTAAGCTGTGGCTTTCAGAGGTGGCCGTGATGTCGATGAGAAGTTGCCCACGCTCTGAACTCTCTGCTGTAACTGGCCAGGAGGGGGAACTGAAATTCAACAGAGCAAAATTTGAATGTTAGTGTGATATAATCCACTACAAGATTATTATCATCATATTCAATAGGATGTTTTGACAGTGTTAGTCTTACTTGCAGACTGTATCTTGGTCAGAACATTGTGGGAATCAAAACTCTGACTGTTTCGGAGTAACGAAAAAGACGAGGAGGATGTGGCGACGTGACCAGAAACATTAGCCACGCCGATGACACTGGGAGTGCTGGGGGCTCGAATGAGGTTTGGCATGCTTCTCCGTAGCTTGTCTGGAAAAAGAAACGCATCACATGATGAAACATGCAATCTAGTACGAACAGTGTTATAGTCTACATACGTATAATCTATAGCTGTTGTTGTTCTCAACCAGTGGGCAGTTCTCAAGTAAAGGATTATTCGAAATAAACAGATCCAACAAGCACTATACACTTCATAAGATGTTGCGTAGTCTGACCTGTGTTTGCTCTATAACTCTGTGGCTCTGCGGGACTGGAGCTGTGGTTGGACATGTGGAGCTGCTGGTAGGACAGGCTGTTGAGGTACTGAGGAGTGGTGGGGCTGCGCCGGCAGTCTTTCACGCTGGAGAGGTTCTGTGAGTGGGACACGCTGCGCTGCATGGAGGCCGTACGGAAGAGTCGAGGCTGTGGAGCGGACAGCTGATCGTACTCTTCCTCTTCCTCCAGGTCAGCCTCACTCCTCATGCTTCTGCGTGCACCTGCGTGTACCGAAAAACTGGCACTACGCCGTGTGGCCGTGGCAGCAGTGGTCGCGTACTCCTGACGTAGACCTAAACACAAACATGTGTCAATGTGTTTCCATTAGAGCCAGGCCGATATATCGGCATTTTCCAAACTATCGGTATCGCAGACTGATCTCATGAAGTAGCGCGTGTATGACACGGCAATTCGTATTTCCATTTTTGGCTTGCTATCAAGATGCTTTAACAAGCTTTTCAGCTTGTTTATGAACGCGTTTGGCTTAACGTTATATAAATATATGACCTACCCCAACCCCGTCCCTAAACCTAACCGTCACTGGGGTTAATGGCATTTATGACTGTTCCCTTACCATCCTAGGAAAAAAAATATCGCTCCCCACGATGTAGATCTACATTTTGCTTCGTTTTGCGCGGATATTTGACTGTGTGTACAGACACGCGGAATCACTCAGACGTTAATGGCGTAGACATACACGCATACCGCATGGATGCACGCGGATAGTTCAAAATGCGTAGAGATAACGTAGAGATATGTTTACGAAAAAGTCATGATGTCATGTTGGGTATCGACAGTTATAATGGCCGATAAATGAACATTTCAAAAATAAAATAGAAACGGACGAAACACGCTTGAATCATGTCATGAGTGTTGGAGTTGTATAGTTTGTCCACCAGAGGGCACTCTACACCGTCCCTGTTGGCAACACTCGTTGAGTTAGTCACGAGACATACATTGCTTGAATAACAATCAAAAGAACATCCCCATCAGTTCTCTTAACTCAAATAAGCATGACAAAATTTGTGACTCTCATGTCCAGTTTTGCTGCCGAGAGTGAAGCGGAATTACCTAGTAATAGTTACGTTACGTTGTTACAGTGTAGTTGACTGACTGTCCTTTTAACATTTGACAATGTGACTGAAGTATTTCTTTAATAGCGCGTCACAGTTCACGTGACGTATCATCTCTCCTTGGCCTGTTATATTGAAAATGTATATTTTACAATTTGCAGTATGACGTTATCCATTGCTAAATTATGGCTCATCATAGACTAGCTAACCACAAAGCTAGCTAATGCCACTATCATCAGTCTGTTCTGTTGCGACAATAAAAGTCAAGTTTCTTTTTAAAATGCGTTATCATATTATTTTAGTTAAAACTCATAAATAACTACAAATAACTAATGTTGGGGAAATCTGTTAATGTTTTGTTACGCATTTCAGGAAAAAAAAAATTGGCCGATATATCGGAATATCGGATTTTAAAACCAACAAATATTTGTATCGGTATCGGCCTTCAAAATCCTTTATCGGTCGGGCTCTTGTTTTCATTAAGCACCTTGGCTATGAAATACTTTTTTTCCGGTTCCAAGCTGCACCCTTTAGACTATCTATGTATCAAAATTTAGTCTAAATCACTGCATGCTCGTTCCTTGGAAAAATATGCGTTTGGAGTAACTTGAGGAAATATTGACAATGGGTTTTTTTTAATGTTGTGAAATAGAGTCTACATTTAAATATCGTCCCACTACATGATGTATTAAAGTAGACATACTCTCCTCCTGCAGTCGGGCCATGACCTCCACATCAGTCATGTCCTGAATCTTGTAGCTCATAGAGATGGAGTCCTCCTCCAGCTCAGAGGCACTGAGCTCACTGTCTATGGAAGACTGAGGACTGAGAGGCCGTTGCTGATGACTATTACCTTAAAATGACAAATGGAGATTTCAATCTCACGTACATATACACTACTGTTCAAAAGTTTGCGGTCCGTAAGATTTTATTTTGACAGAAAGAAATACTTTTAGTCAGAAGATAATTTGAATGCAATAAATTGATCAAAAGTGACAGTTAAGACATATTGACAATGGGTCAATCAATTGTGTTTTTATAGAAAGGCCTGACCAAGGTTGCAAATTAGCCTACTGGCTAGAAACCTTTTATGCAACACATTTACACATTTTGTTATGGTTTTGCCTATTACAACTATGTATGTAATAATGTGCGCTGCATTGTCCCTGACAAATAAACGAATTAAAAAAAAAATAACATTTAAAAAAAAACCTTAAATAATTATACAAAAATAAAAAGTTTCAAATAAATCCTTTTGTTTATAATTTTCTATTCATCAAAGAATCTTGAAAAAAGTATAATAATATTAAGCAGCACAACTGTTCTCTACATTGATAATAATGAGAAATGCCATGACCTTAAAAAAATCTTACCAACCCCAAACTTATGGTAGTGTAAATACTAATCCTAATGGTAGTAATAATCCAAATACAACATTGGAGAAGTGGTGTGTATGATTAGTGGAGCAAGATAGGTAATTTTGGTCATGCTTACTGTGTGTAGCCGTGTGATAGAGGAATGTGGGAGATCTTTCAGTTAGGCTTAAGCAGTTCCTCCCCATGAGAGACTTCTGATGGTTTGGTGAAGGTGGATCTGCATCAGAAGAGAGATGATAGATCTAAAAAAAACTATGCAAATATGATCCAGACTACATTTTATTTTCCATGCTTAAAAATTTTGGTACTGTGTTGGGTCGCCACTTGCTGCCAAAAGTAAGATCTGTGTAAAATTTGAGAACTGCTAAATCTATACATCTAGTCAAACTAGGATCATATGTAGACCCTGTGCAATAAAGCATTGCAATCAAATCTTTGTTTCATGGAACAAATGCCGCAACGGCCATTTACAGACACCATGAGGTCATCACTACTGATCACTGATGTCTCACATTTCACATGGCTTGAAAAAATGCTGAGCTGGCCGAAGTAAATGAAAGCTGATGCCTGAAAAAATCATTATGTTCTTTCTCAGCTATTTTCCTCTTTCATTTTTCTTAACTACCTAGTTTATAATAAATAAAAAAATAATTATATTTTAACAGTTATATAATACACACATACAAAAAGGAGTGAGCTTAATTGTATTGAATGTGCAAATGTAGTGTACTTCAAAACTTAAAAGTATTTTTTTAAGGACAACTCTGGTGCAAAATGAACCTTTAGTCTAAAAACACATTGGTACCTAGTCGACCGTTCTCTGAGATTTGTTTTCATGATAATCAAATGTAAAGAGTTTTATCCCTAAAAACTGTTTAGCGTATAATGCTAGTACATACTGCATAGAGTAATTAAAAATAAGAATCGCTAGTTAATACCACCGACAAGGCTCAAAATAGCCCCACACTAATACAGTAACATAATGAGGGTCCCCATATGAAAACCAAAGCATTGAGAACTTTGTAAGTGTACAGACAGTTTAATAAGATAGTCCACTTCGCGTATACAGGCAGGAGCCATCTTTGGAAAACAGTTTTGACAAGTCGAACCACGAACAGCGTTCATACAGTTCAGAAGTTCGTTGAACTTCATACAGTTTAGCTCACTTGGCACGGCGTTCGTGGTTTGACTTGTTGAGACTGTTTTAGTAGCATGCAATTAAAGCAGCACTATGTAGTTTTTTCAACCTTTCAAAATATTTTTCTAAAACCCTTGATATGGTACATCGACTTACAATAGGTTGAATGACAGGTCTGCCATAGCCTGACGTGGTCTGTATCGCTTTTACTGGTACTCTGTAACTTCGGGGAGCGGGTAGGAACCCGAGCACAAAAAGAACTACAAAATTTGACATCACTTCCTCAAATTCCGACGCGAGAGCCCAACGAGCGTTTTTTTTTTTTTTTTTTACCTCTGTATGTTGTCAGAATTTACGACAGTAGTAGTACAATACTTTTTCCCAACTGTAGGGGGACCCCGAGAGCGAAATTTTAAAAATAACATAATGCTGCTTTAAGTATGCTTTTTCACAAGGGACTGTATTATACACAGTGCAATCTTTGTGGTTTATCAGGCATAGAGGTACCTCTGTTAGCAGTTAGAGAGAATGAGAGAAAGCATCAACAAACATTAATGAAAAGCTGTTTCATCTGGAGTTAGAATGAGTGAGTCACATGAGTTACCTGTTTGCTCAGTTAGTGCAGGTTTAGTAAAGTGTTTAGAACAGCTGCTTAAAGAAGAGACTCCATCTATAGGACTGTACAAAACGTTTGAGGACCCACAGCCCGAGAGGACCCCTCTCCATCTTTTGGCTAAATGAAAAAGGGAAGTGCAATTAATAAAATAAAAAAAACATCACACACAACAACATGTATATATAATGGTTAGTGTAATATTTTAAATAATATTAATGTGAATAAATGTTTCGGTTTTAACACTATATGGGTATTGGGTAAATTAGTAAAAGGTTTTTAAAGCAACACCAAGGAACTTTTCCTCTGAGGTCGCCCTACAGTTTGGAAGCCGAATTGTTTACCGCTGCGCAAATAATTTAGCCTACCACTGCCTACTGTCACACGCTCACTTATTTATCCAGCACTGGCTTTAGAATGAACAATGTCTACAGACAAGCTAGAGTATATTGCATGATTTCATGAAAGTATGATGTATTGCGACATCAAAAACGAAGAAAAACTAAATAATGATTTTTGGAACGCTAGACGTCATAACGATAGTCAAATTTGTAGTTTTCTTATGTCTCATTAGAACTACAGAAACATGACCCGATCTGGCAATCTTACATAGCGTGGTTACAGCAGATATAGGACCGCAAAGCGAATCCAGAAGTGCCTTTCACCCTGTTACGACTTAATGAACTACTGAAATGATTTTGTAAACATTATTTTAAGTTAAAAAAAATCTTACTTAGTGTTGCTTTAAACTAAAGTTTTAAGTGTTAGTTCACCCCAAAAGGAAAATTCGGTCATTAAAAAAAAATGAGCATGTTTGATTGACGTGCGAGAACCAATGAGGTTCAGTCTCGTGTTACATTCTTTAACACGTCAAAGTTGTAGTTGCGTAGCAGTCAATGGAGAGACAGAAAGATTTTATTAAAAAGATCTTCATTTGTGTTCTGAAGATGAAAAAAAGTCTCATAAGTTTGGAATGACGTGAGGGTGAGTTATAAATAACAGAATTTTCATTTTTGGGTGTACTAACCCTTTAATGCTTTCCACTGAAACCAAATTAAATATTAGAAAGGGTTTTTTTTTTCTTTTTTTAATCTCTATAAACCAAATGGGGTCAACATTGAGCATATAAAAAACATGCCAAAAATAAACAGTAATAAAAATTGAAGTATTTTTCTGACTAAAAACGGTAACTAAGACATCCTTCCAAATCGCCCCTTTTGTTTTCCATAGAAAAAAGAAAGGTTGAGAACTTTCATTTTGGGACAAACTCTTCAGTAACACTTTACAATCAGGTTTCAATAGTTAAAATTAGTTAATTACATAACACATTAACTAACAATAAATTATATCGTATTTGCTAGCATTAATTTGAACCTTTAACAATAGACTTTTCAAATAAAAAGTTTGCATCTCATTACTTGAAGCACTGTGAACTAACATGAACAAACAACAATTGATTTTTACTAATTAACATGTTAGCTAATCCATTAACTAATGTTGACAAATGAGATTGTAAATTGTTATCAACTCTTCCCTTAAAAGATTGAAAATGAGTAGAATGAATAATTGTTATTCAAGCGAACCACAGTACTTTTGCATACCTTAACAATTAGACTTTCCCAGATCGCATAAAAACAAGCATTCATGGCAACCCACAAAAACAAAGGTTTTCAGAGGCCGCCCGAAACAAAGATGTATTCATGACCCCGTTTGCAGAGAGCCAAGCTTACTGAATCTAGCCTTTCAAAGGCCTTTCAGAGCGCTGCAACTCCACAACACACATCTCTGTATATGCACCTCATACATCATTTATGTATGGCCTGATCCAAAGGAATAATTGATTCAAAACCATTTCACAACATCTCCAGGACAGTCTCGAATCTGTGTTAGCTAGTGCTGATTCTACAGGCAGGTTTAATTTAGGAATGGTTTCTATGGAGACCATTCCCTCAAGCAGCTTAACTGCACTACAGATGTATTGATAAGGTTATATATTTATTATCTATTATTTAACCACTCAAACACTACATGGCTAATTTTATGTCTAGTCTTTTAGTAGACATTAGCATTCATTTTTTTAAGGTACTATTAAAAACCACATTCCTCTCTGAAGCTTTTTCAAGTAGGCTGATAACAGCTAACACGTCCCCATCTTCCACTGTTCTTTGTGTACAATACATCATGCAACTGTTTGCCATATGTATCTGTATTATATCAGCCATCCTTCTCCATTAAAAAGCTATAATGGTCAATCACTGTCAGTAACTAAAAACTTCAAGCTCTTCAATTTCTAAACCACTGACATTTCAGAAATTATTAGTGGGAATGGTGGAAGACCAAAACTGGGAATGTGACTACTATGGCATTTTCTATATCGCTTGTTGTTGGTACCTTGGTCCAGTTTGTAGCACAAGGAGCGTTTGGCTAACTCCACCTCTGGTCTGGGGTTGTCCAGCACATGTCTACACCACTGAAGAGGACTGAGGAGAAGATGAGGAAACAGCTTTGCTTTTGAAGACACGTACAACCTGGTGACATAAAAACTGGGTCAAATCATTCCAATTTGGACTTTTGCAAACATTCATTATTGTATTAGTTTCTAGATTGTCCATGGATTTTATCATAAACCTAATACTATTTATATTAGTTCAGCTGATTAAAAGATACATTGGGATGTATGACTCCTATCTGCTAAATCTTAGTCACTTGTCTGAGAGGGACAATAAGGGATCACCTGGTCTAACTATTTATGCAAGAATAAATTATTATAGTTCTAGATTTTGAATGAGGATGTGAATGATGTTTAATTGACTTGATAATTAAACAATATTGTGAATGTCCATATGATTATTGGTTTTCATGAAAATGTAACACTGAATAAGTTTCAGCACATACATGTGAAAGGATGATTTTAGTAAATATTTCAATCTTCATCAATACCCTGCACCATGAACACATGAAATGTGCTTTGAGTCTTTTATACAATTAGATATTTTTGTCAGTACGAATCATAAAACCAGCATAACTTGAATGACCTGTACGGACACAGAAGTGTGCTTCGATTCTGGGACCACTAGTTTTATTTATTTAATCTTTTTTGCATATTTTAAAGTGAATACTGTATTTGTCATTACAGCATTTTAGCATAACTTGAAATGTATTAAATGAACACAAAATCATTAAGAATTTTGTGTCTTAGTATTTGGTTTGTTTAGAAATTGTGCTGGCTTCATTATTTCGAGGTTAAAGTTACAGTTTGGCTCCTTTATTTGGATGTGATCTCCCAACGTAATAGTGTTGCAATTAACGTCCCATCCTATCACAAACAGATATCAAACTTCGTCTGTTTTTTATTTCTCTGTATAATGCACAGGTTTAAATTAGACTACTTCTTTTTACCATTTTTTATGAAATAATTCAAAAACAGTCAAATATTCATGCTCCTGTTCACTTCATAGATAAATTGTCTCAAGTAAAACATGGATATTTTTCACGTCATCACCAGATGCAAACAGCAAGCTAATCTCCTCCAAATTAATATATTCCCCCATAAATGACACTCACCAATTTAACAATGGACATGGGCACATTGAATGGTGACATTTCATGTGAACTAAATGTGGGGGATAACAAAGAGCATGCGACGCAGAAAATCAAGAATGACACTGTTGTTTACTTAGCAAATAATACAGCATCAGTACCAGCTATAATCAGACTCTCCATCGATGGAAAGAACAACATGAAGGTCTAATATTTCCACCTCATCCAGTACAGTGGCATCATCCTCATCAGCACCAGTCACTGACTGCGGATGAAAATACGGGTAGTGCTCATCCGACAGTCCAAAAGACGGAGAATATGAGGGTGAAGCGCAGTGATTCCCGGTGTCTGGGCAGGCCGACGCCGGAGCTTGTAACCCACGGGCGCTGAGGGTGCAGTTGTTCGCAGCGTTTGCTCTCGTCCTGAGCTGCTCGTTCTGCCTCTCCAGTTTTCTCACGAGCTCTTGGAGCTTTTTCACCTCCAGTTCTGCGTTCATCATCTTACTGTTGCCATTGACGTCCGCCATCATCTGCGGGTTGAAAAATAGTCCGTCCATTGAAGAGAAAAGCATATGAACAGTAGTAAGATGGTGGCGGTGTTGTTTACCCTGTGTGCCCAGTCTCGCACTGCTTTCAAACGGGTTACATGCTTCATTCAGATGCTGATGTGCTGCTCATGCTTCTGTCTCCTCCCCCTCAGTTCAAAACACAACACACGACCACCACAGCACCAGGCAAAACACCAGTCACACTGCCCAGGCTCTTTGCCATCCTTTATTTCATTCAGAGAGGACAAGCAGTAAAATGGTTGCGTTTGGAGTGCCGCGTTCTATTCTATTCTATTCTATTCTATTCTATTCTATTCTATTCTATTCTATTCTATTCTATTCTATTCTATTCTGTTAAATTCTATTCCTTATACCTGAACTAGAGGTATTAATCCCATAATATACACTAGGCTATAGTGTTCAAAGCCATTACCTTTTTTTAAGTAATTTAAAATGTATTGAGTAAGGATGCATTAAATTGTTTTTTCAAAACTCTTTTGAACTTTCTATTTATCAAAGTATCCTGAAAAAAATGATCAAAGTTTCCACAACAACAACCTTAAGCAACACAACTGTTTTCAACATTGATAATAAAAAAGAAATGTTTCTTGGGCAGCGAATCAGCATATTAGAATGATTTCAGGTAAGGAATAGAATAGAATAGAATAGAATAGAATAGAATAGAATTCTATTCCTTACCTGAACTAGAGGTATTAATCCCATAATATACACTACGCTAGTGTTCAACGCCATTAAGGTCATTACCTTTTTTTAAGTAATTTAAACTTTTATTGATGTCACGGGTGACAAAATCGCTCAGTAAACGGAACCTTCTTGAGAGTCCTGAGTTTCCTAGGGGAACGTATTGGGTGCAACACTCCACTACGGTTCCGGGTGTGATGGAAACATGCCCGTACTGATTAGCGCTAATGCATGGCAGGTGTGAGAGAGAGAGGAGCGGCGCTCACACAGGCTTCCTGTTTCATAAGCCACAATATAAAAGGAGCATTTAGAGAGTGTTTGCAGCGCGGTTGGTGGGTGTACAGTGTGTCAAGATTCCAAAGGGTTGACTCTGGGCAGTGCTGGATACAGGCTTCCTTGGAAAAATCGTTGGAGTGTGGAGATCGCCCATTCGAGTTTGCTGGGTCAGATTGATCGTTTGTGGGAAGACTGCTGGGCCGAGCTAGGGCTGGATCTGTGCTGTGGAAGGAGAGTTGATAGAAGATAAGTGAATTGTTTTCATCTTATGAACATTTGAACCACTTGAAGAGGATACAGTGAATGTGGATCTGACTGTTGGAGGAGCTATGTGTTTCAGAGTGTGATGAGGAGGAATTAAAAGTGAAAACCCTGTAAACGAGCGCAACGGCCGGAGTGGGGCCTCTGTCCAACCCTATCGTGTGAGTGAATTGCAGTGCTTTTGCCTTATTGATACACATTGATTTATTGCTGTGGAATTGAAGTGAACACAAGTGTGCTGTGTCTTTGTTGAGAAGTGGCCCCCATCCATGCTTACACGTTCGTGGAAGGTTATTATATCTGCCCCCGTCAGAAGCCCAGAGTGATACAGTGAACTGAAGAGAGAGTACTTTGTACTGTGAAGATCCCCACCTGTTCTACTTGCTGTTTGAGCCCAGAAGCATACAGCACCACTGGTAAAGTAACTTTATGACTCACTGTCCCCCTATTGTGAACTGAAGAGAGAGTACTGTGTACTGTGACTATCCTCACCTGTTCTACTTACTGTTTGAGCCCAGAAGTATACAGCAACGCTGATAAAGTAATCGTTTAACCCACTGTCGCCCTACTGTGAACTGAGGAGAGAGTACTTTGTACTGTGAAGATCCACACCTGTTCTACTTGCTGTTTGAGCCCAGAAGCATACAGCACCACTGGTAAAGTAACCTTATGATTCACTGTCTCCCTATTGTGAACTGAAGAGAGAGTACTGTGTACTGTGAATATCCTCACCTGTTCTACTTACTGTTTGAGCCCAGAAGTATACAGCAACGCTGATAAAGTAATCGTTTAATCCACTGCTTCATTACCGTGCACCCACGAGAGTACCCTGTACTGTGAAGAATCCTTACCTGCCATACTTACCGTCTGAGTCTGGAAGTCTGCAGCACCGCTGGGGGAAAAGTAAGCTTTTAATTAGGGATGTCCCGATACCACTTTTTCACTTCCGATACCGATACCGATGCCGCACCTTTGGGTTTTGCCGATACCGATATTAGTCCGATATTTTTTTTTTTCGTGGTCCGACGTGCCGTATACGGCCCACAGGGTGGTTTATAGGTTTAACTTTGTGAAAGACAAAACAAAACAAACACAAAAGTAAACATAATACATATCTTTGGAAAGCTGAGAAACTCGTGATTCGAACGACGTAAACCATTTTAAGATACAATCAACACAGCGGGCACAATCTGTCTCTTTGTCAGACCACCAACAGCCAAAACAAACCAACACAAACTGGAAGAAACTCACCAATTAGCCATCTGTTAGTCCACATTCCAACAAAAATGGTTTGGTTTCACTGTAAAGCGTCCATACAATCCAATTTGAAGAAGTTTTTAGTCCAAAACAATTGTATATATGAATAAACATCCATGGAATGTAAATAGTAGCATTTCCCGTTAGCCGACAGCGCTATCACAACTTCGACGCACTAATGCTACGTTCACACCGGACGCGAATAGGGCGTCAGGCGCGAATGATTTCAATGTTAAGTCAATGCAAGAAAAATTCCTGCGGCGCGAATGAGGCGTGGAGCGCGGCGCGGAAGACGCGAATCAAGTTGGCGCGAATGGCGCGAATTGAGCGTTGTGCATTCACGCGTTTGACGCGAATTCGCATCTGCCGCCCGAGTTGAACTGCTTGCTCACGTGGTGAAGTGTCTGGATGCTTCAATAAATTATTTTGTTAATATGACTAAATGCATGGTGGGATTATGCACAACAAAGCAAATGTTTCATCACTTAAAACATTATTTCTATATGGAGACATGTTCATTTTGTATTGAATGTTATTCATTCCATATCTAGAAATAGTGTTATGTTGTAAAGACAGCCAAGTCTCCCGGAAGTTCCGGGAGTCTCCCGCACATTGATAGCGTCTCCCTGATGCCCGCAAATTAGTTCAAATCTCCCGGAATCTAGAGCGAGACATACTGCGCGCATAACATACATAGCGCGCTATATATATATATCAACATATGTGCATACATTCGTGTCTGGACGTGAGAGAGAGAAAAAAAAATCACAGGACAGGTTAATAACTTTTGAAGGCTGGCTCTATTTATTATCAAAACAAAAATAAATGACAGCCAGATTAGATGGATGAGGGGCCGGGCGAGGGTGATCCTCGCTCAGATGCGGGACAACAGGTCATCAAACTGGGCGCGTGACAGGCGGAAGTACCGCTGACAGCGGCCGTCATCCAGCGCAGCTCCTGGAGCGAGCAAATGGTGAAACTCGCCAAACGGTTCGGCTCCGAAGGGTCCGGTGGACACAAATATACGGCGACGATGATCCCCACGCCGCTGTTCTGCTATCCAGAGTAAATACAGAGCGGTAACTCTCTTGATGAATGCTCGGTCGACATAAAAACAATGACCGCCAACGGATTTTGATTCTGACGCGCGTCACGCGCGTAAATTTCGCTTCAAACTATACGCGCGCCAGTTTCGCTCTCTCTTTGAGTGACAGTTTATCTATCCAGTTGCAATAGAGAATGAAATGACGCTATTTTCTGATAGCCAATGAATTTCTGAGAAGACTGAAATGCAGCTTTTGTGGAATCATCCGATTACATTAGAATCCGTGCGCAAAAGCGAGAGTGATTCTCTGCACGCGTGTGCTTAAACACAACAATCATCACGTGACAGGCTGCGCCGCTAAACTGGATATCGCTCATATTTTTTTCTCCCCTCCGATCTCCGATCTAGCGTTCTGGGCCGGTATCGGCGCGATACCGATGCCGTGGATCGGATCGGGACATCCCTACTTTTAATCCACTGCTTTATTATCGTGCACCAACGAGAGTACTCTGTACTGTGAAGAATCCTTACCCGCCATACTTACTGTCTGAGTCTGGAAGTCTGCAGCACCGCTGGGGGAAAAGTAAGCTTTTAATCCACTGTTTTATTATCGTGCACCAACGAGAGTACTCTGTACTGTGAAGAATCCTTACCCGCCATACTTACTGTCCGAGTCTGGAAGTCTGCAGCACCGCTGGGGGAAAAGTAAGCTTTTAATCCACTGCTTTATTATCGTGCACCAACGAGAGTACTCTGTACTGTGAAGAATCCTTACCTGCCATACTTACTGTCTGAGTCTAGAAGTCTGCAGCACCGCTGGGGGAAAAGTAAGCTTTTAATCCACTGCTTTATTATCGTGCACCAACGAGAGTACTCTGTACTGTGAAGAATCCTTACCCGCCATACTTACTGTCTGAGTCTGGAAGTCTGCAGCACCGCTGGGGAAGAGTAAGCTTTTAATCCACTGCTTCATTACTGTGCACCAACGAGAGTACTTTGTACCGTGAAGAATCCTTACCTGACATACTTTCTCTTGGGTCTGGAAGTCTGCAGCACCGCTGGGGAGAAGTAAGCTTCAACCCCCCTGCTCCATCATCATACATCGACGAGAGTCTCTTGAACTGTGAGAAACCTTTGGCTTAATAAAGATTGTTACTCCTTTGAAATTTATCTCTGTCTCCGGGTCCTCTGTTGTGTGCCTGTGGTGTCGGCTCCTCACGGTGGTGACTCAGTTAGAGGGGGGGGGTGGTTGGTCACCCGAGCGTTCCTCCCCTCGACCTGTGACATTGAGTAAGGATGCATTACATTGTTTTTTTCAAAACTCTATTGAACTTTCTATTTATCAAAGTATCTTGAAAAAAATATCAATTTCCATAACAACTATATTAAGAAACAACTATTTTCAACATTGATAATAAAAAAAGAAATGTTTCCTAGGCAGCGAATCAGCATATTAGAATGATTTCTGAAGACTCGAGTAATGATGCTGAAAATACAGCTTTGCATCACAGGGCTAAATTACATTTTAAAATATATTTAAATATAAAACAGTTATCTTACATTTTAATAATATTTTACCATATTACTGTATTTTTTTTGTGATCTTGTTGAGAATAAGAGACTTATTTCAAAACTCAAAATCAATTTCAATCCTGTTCAATCTTTGTAAAATCCCAACACTTACAAAAGTGACTTCATTACTGTTGTCCTCCCCCAGGACGTGCACTTTTTAATTGACACCATTTTTGGTGGAAAAACAACACCACGAGTTAGTGCATTCTGTGGTGTTTTGATGTTTAGTTAATTCATCTTCCTCTAAAACATTCCACCCTGTTTGACAAAATTATATGGATATTAACATTTTAAAAGACTTATTAAAAGATTAAAAAACACCTCTCATGTAAGCAGACTCTCTCAGTATTTCACAGAGCAATGGCTAAGTTTAGCTCTTTATTTGTATCCTCTTATAAATCCTGCCATGAGTAATAAATTGAAGTGTCTGGTCTTGATCAGAACTTATTTAAAGTCTGCAAGTCTCTTTAATATAAATACCTTAGATGCTTCCAACAGAAGCAGATTCATTATAGCAGTGAAAGGTACGGCATGACTATTCTCTGGAATGACGCTCAACCAGATTCTGAACAATAAAAACAATAATAAAAAAAAAACGAACAGCTGGCTTATTATCATCATAGCTTATAATTCTTTAATTAACAATAGTGACAAAAAAAGTACAATAAACAACTAAAAACACAAAGTAAAACATTTATCATCACATACGAGCATATGATTATTCTTATTTTAAAATGTTCATCTTATTTTAGTAATTAGATTAGATGCTTGTCACATCATCAGGGAAGTATGGCAATCAATGCAATTAATAAATGCCCCAAAGTCTATAATCAGACAGAAGTCCACCACCAAAAATGCACTTCAAATATACCCGAGTCCAAATCACAGCTATGGGAAAGTTTGGTTAAAGGCTAGTTCATTGCTTAACATCACTTAATGAATGGTAAATGTAGTCTCAGCTGATCCATTTGCCTGTAAAACAAACATTTTATTTATTTAGCAAGTATATTGGTAGTATGTTTCAGAATACTAAAAAAATATAATCTTCTTACCTCTAGTGACACTAAAGCAATTATCACAGTAAACTGCACGACGGTAAACCCATAAGCTGTCCCCGGCCTTCAGGTGTCCCAGAGACGAGTTACACACCCCACACTAATAGAAATAGAAATAATACTCTTTTAAAATGATTTTTCTTTAATAAAAAAATCTTTATAAATTCTTGAATTCATAAGAAAATAGTTGACAAGCAACAATATAAAAAAGAGGTTTTTTTAGAACATCATTAATAACATTAAAACTTTCAAATTCCATATTACATTCATATCATTTTTATAAATATTTATATTTTTATGAGTTAAAAAAACAAACCTTGAAACAACGTGCATGACAGTTTATATTCATGTCTTCCAGAATCATCTTTTCATCTGTGTACATGTTTTTTTGGCAGTATGTGCAAATGTCCTTTGAGCTCACTGTCCTGAAATAAAGTGAAAAGCATTTCGCATGTGCACGACACATGGCATTAAACTCTGGCATAATTCAATTCCGTTTCCATACCTTTCCGGTGATGTGTACACAGTTGTAGAGGTTTTGGATGTGAAGGAGTCAGACAAGTAATCAACGGGCCTGTGGACAAAATGACATGACTAAGTCTACAAACCTCATCAAATCTAATCAGTAATTCTAGTAATGTTTAACTGACAAAACAACTGTCGAACCTGCTCTCTGAGAATGATGATCTGGTGTAAGATGGACTTGTGACAGTACTCCACTCATTTCTATGCATTTAAAAAGATATAGAAGTAGATATAATAAACAACATAACGTATCAGGCAAAGATGTTTAAATAAAAAATACCATACCTTTCATTGGTTGAATACACAGTTCTGGTGGTTTTGGAGACCGATACATCCTCGTGACTGTAGGAACGATAAAAATCCATGATACAGTAAACACTACTGCACTGAGAGTGAAGCTCTAATGCAAAGTTGTGTGCGCTGCTGACTAACAATCGAAACACGAATGAACACCTGCTTTTGTGTTTTAATCCTGGCAGTCATAAGACTGGTTTATCTACTTAAAGGCCAAAGCAAATGTCAAACTCGCCAAAAATGAGTTCACACCTTATAAATATGCAAATTACACATACCTGCCATCATGTTTCGTGTAAGATGACTTGATTGATGTTGGTATGAGAGTGTCAAACAGTTGATCCTCGGTGCTGTTGAAAAGCATTCAGTGATGTTCTTTGTCTTACAGTGAATGAAAAGCATTTACTTGGAATGATCTTTCAGGATCTCACCTCTTTGTGGATCGGAGAGAAGATGATGTTGTTTTAGTCGGTGAAACCTCAGTGTAGCTTTTGATGCTAGAATTGAAATGAATAAGAGGTTAAGAAAGTAGCCACATTTGTTCATTTTAGTCAGCAATAAACAATGCTGTGGTTACTGTACCTAGTGGTGGTCTTGAGAGGTGAAGGGGGTCTAGATAAAAAGAATGATAGGATATAGTTTAATACGCACACAAAACAGCAAAAAAAAAAACAACAGCATCTTGTTTCTAATAGATAGATCTTAAATTATTCAAAATATCCTTTAATCGAGTAGGTCACTTTTAAAAAAACTTTTGCTGATAATTTACTCACCCGTCATCCAAGATGTCCATGTCTTTCTTTCTTCAGTCGAAAGGAAATTGAGGTTTTTGATGAAAACATTCCAGGATTTTTCTCCATATAATGCACTTTATTGGGAACCAAACGGTTCAAGGTCGAAAATACAGTTTCAGTGCAAACTGCAAACTGTTCAAAGGGCTTTAAACGATTTCAGACGACGAATAAGGGTCTTATCAAGCGAAACGATCGCTCCTTTAAAAAAAAAACACACACACAGTTTAAGTTTTATAAGCTCAAAATGAACAAATCTTTTTCCGAGTCAATTCGTTCGTTGAATAAACCAAATGACACGAAAAAAGATTTGTTCATTTTGATAAACGAGGTCGAACAGGAGAGTCGCGCATCACAGAACAGAGCAAGGCGAGCATTTGAGCTTATAAAACGTAAACTTTGTTATCTTTTTTATTTAAATGAGCGATCGTTTCACTTGATAAGACCCTTATTCATTGTCTGAAATCGTTTTAAAGCCCATTGAACAGTTTGCAGTTTGTACTGAAACTGTCTTTTGGACCTTGAACCGTTTGGTTCCCACTGAAGTCCATTATATGGAGAAAAATGCTTGAATGTTTTTATCAAAAACTTTAATTTCTTTTCGACTGAAGAAAGAAAGACATGGATATGGATGACATGGGGGTGAGTAAATTATCAGCAAAAGTTTTTTTTAAAAAATGAACCAATCCTTTAAAATCATATAATGAACAAACTCTTTATTTACTTTTTTTCCCCCACAAGACATTATATGCTAAAATAAAGTGCATTTTATTATTTGCATTTAGTATTGTTTTGTCTCTGTTATCAGTGACCCATCAGGATAGACATGTGGAGATTTGTGGGTCGTGACCCTTCAGTTGAGAAACACTGATCTATGACACTCACACATCAATGATGTCCTTGGATGACTTCACAGTAACCACCTCAGTCTTGTAGTCACTTTACAGAAACATAACATTTACAGTGAGCATAATTTCAGTCTCTAAATGAAAGTTTAATATTTTTACTTCAATTATTTTCTGCAATAAAATAGGGATGCATGATATATCGATATTTTTAATGTTATCGTTATTGGCCATATTAGGAATTTTGGCCGATATATTAAAGCCGATAATTATTTTTATTATTTCCTTCAGCTGAGACACTTCAGATACACAATGTTCGGCATGATGTTTTTGAATTGCTTCAAATATAACTGGAATCACTTAAAATAAAAAAAGGAAAATACAGTGAAACATGGGATAAGCAACATGAAATTATAACAGAAAATATTATAATTGTGTGCTCTCAAAAATGCAATAAAAACTTGGATTTAGATTTATTGGCCAATATATCGGTTATGAGCTTTCAAGTATAAACAATTATCGTATCAGCCAAAATGTTCATATAGCTGCATCCCTACAATAAATATAACAATTGTGATGTGAACAATCTTTCAATTTCTCACCTCTTGGTGGAGTAGGATGTTGTTTTAGCTGGTGAAACCTCCTCCTTGGTGTAGGTTGTAATGCTGTGAATGAAATTGTTAAAAGTTTAAGAGAGAAGACACATTTTTCAACGTTATTTTCTGGTTAGTCAGCAATGCTGTAGTTACTGTACCTTGAGGTGGTCTTGAGAGGTGAAGTTGGTCTAGACAAAATTAATAACAGGTTTTAGTTAAATAAACGCAAAACACACAACTGAAAACACAATGGCAACTGAATTAATTATTGTTCTGAAATTTAGTTGGTTAAATTTTCTACTAGTGGTTTAGGACAGAATATCCTAAAAAGTCAAACCCAGAAGTTTATTACTTTTACCATAAACTGTAAAAAAAAAGTGTGAATTATCGTAATGAATGTGAACTTGTACTTCAAATCTTAAAAAGTATACTGTACTTTTTAGATAATATAAACGTATTAAATAAAACACGACGATTAGATGAACTTTCATGACACACAATTTTAAAAAGTGCACTTTGTAGTAATGTCCAATAAAAAGATTTACCTTAAAGCATATCTGAAATCATTATGTTTTCATAATCTTGTCATGTTTTAAAGAAGAACTTTTTTGATGTGTTGACTAACATACTAAAGCTCATGTAAAGTACTTATAATTTTAACTGTAGTGAATTATTTGATATTACATTTAAAATTAATATTTGAAACTTACTAAATTGTAACTTCATTATACAAATATATTTAAATACATAACATACCAGACACCAGTACATTCAGCAGTACACTTTAACTCTATTTGCAATTACATAAGATGTCCTCAAGTCCTATACGTGGGTCAAAAAATACTCTAAAGTTCAGTTAATTGCATTCGATATAAATTAAGTATGAAGCATTTTAATTAAATACATAATTAAGTGTTTTATTAAGTAGATATTTGTTGTAAAATTGAGAATGTTGAGTGAAGATATCGGAAGTTTTATTTATTTTGCTACGATTATATGGTTAGGTGCATTTTATTATTTGCATTTAGTTTTGTTTTGTCTCTGTTGTCAGTGACCCATCATCAGGATAGACATGTAGGAGATTTGTGGGTCGTGACCCCTCAGTGTAGAAGAACTGATCTATGACACTCACACATCAATGATGTCCTTGGATGACTTCACAGTAACCACCTCAGTCTTGTAGTCACTTTACAGAAACATAACATTTACAGTGAGCATAATTTCAGTCTCTAAATGAAAGTTTAGTTCCTTGCACTGCATTAATTATAACAATTCTCACCTCTTGGTGGAGTAGGATGTTGTTTTAGCTGGTGAAATCTCCTCCTTGGTGTAGGTTGTAATGCTGTGAATGAAAATTGTTAAAAGGTTAAGAGAGAATACACATTTTTCAGGTTAGTCAGCAATCTGGATCCATGTTATTTTCGGGTTAGTCAGCAATGCTGTAGTTACTGTACCTTGACGTGGTCTTGAGAGGTGAAGTTGGTCTAGACAAAATGCATTACAGATTGGATTTAATACAAACACACAACACAACAAACTGTTTTTTGGGACAAAATACCCTTAGATTCAAACATTCAAGTTTATTACTTTTACCATAAACCTTATAGGACAAACAATTTGCAAAAAATAGACATGCAAGAGATTTGTGGGTCGTGACCCGTCAGTTAAGAAACACTGATCTATGACACTCACACATCAATGATGTCCTTGGATGACTTCACAGTAACCACCTCAGTCTTGTAGTCACTTTACAGAAACATAACATTTACAGTGAGCAATATTTCAGTCTCTAAATGAAAGTTCAGTTCCTTGCACTGCATTAATTATAACAATTCTGGTTCTCACCTCTTGGTGGAGTAGGATGTTGTTTTAGCTGGTGAAACCTCCTCCTTGGTGTAGGTTGTAATGCTGTGAATGAAGACACATTTTTAAGGTTAGTCAGCAATCTGGATCCATGTTCTGGTTAGTCAGCAATGCTGTAGTTACTGTACCTTGAGGTGGTCTTGAGAGGTGAAGTTGGTCTGGACAAAATGAATTATAGTTTAAGTGTTAATATACACATAAAATAAAATAAAAAAATCACACACACACACAAAAGATATCAAATTACACAGATTTTACACACACATCACGACACGACAGTATACTGAAATAGATAAAAATGTCCTTAAAGGGACAGTTCACCACAAAATTAAAATTCTGTCAGTAATACTTTCTGTAAGAATTTTGTTCATCTTCGGAACACGAATGAAGATATTTTTGATTAAATCTGAGAGCTGTCTCACTCCTCCATGGGTTTCGGCTTACGTTCTGACGTACAGCCCAGAAGCGCTGCGCTGTTAAACTACATGAACTCACTTAGAGGCCCACGCAGAAAATAATAAATAGTTGAATAAAGTCGTTAATTTCGAAAAAGTATTTTCGACGCTTGATAAACTTAAAGTTGAGCCTCTGTAGTCACTTGGGCTATTTTAAACAATGTCTTTACTAACTTTCTGGGTCGGCAAGTTCAATTACATGAAAGCCCATGGAGGAGTGAGACAGCTCTCAGATTTCAATCAAAAATACTGTATATTAATTTGTTTTCTGAAGATGACCGAAAGTCTAAGCGATGTCACACATTTTTTAGGCCAAAACATTTTTTGTTACATACAGCAAACATCTCCTCACTGTCCGCTAGCCGTAAAAAAAACGCGGTCTATGCAGACAACCCAGGCTCCACAAATGGGAACTGCGGCAACCCGCTCCACGAAACATTACAAACTGTTCCAGCCAATAACTGACAAGAAGGCCCTGGGGGTGGGGTTTTGTGAAGCCTTGTGAAACTTATTTTTCAGGTTGCATTGAAGGTTGCATTTGCCGTAATTGTATTTAGCACGCTTTCCGCCACTTTCCATCATTTGTGGGTCGTGACCCTTCAGTTTAGAAGAATTGATCTATAACACTCACACATCAATGATGTCCTTCGATGACTTCACAGTAATCACCTCAGTCTTGTAGTCACTTTACAGACACATAACATTAACAAGTGTATTATTTTCTGCAATAAACACTAGATCTTTTAATATCACTTGTTGGACTACAGAATCTTGTGGCTTTATGAGGTTGATATTCTGATTAAAATGAAATGAATCATGTTGTTTAAGATGTTTAGTTCATAAATTTGCAAATGCCACATACCTGCTATCCTGTTTTGACTTGATTGATGTTGGTATGAGAGTGTCAAACAGTTGATCCTCGGTGCTGTAGAAAAGCATTCAGTGATGTTCTTTATACAGTGAATGAAAAGCATTTACTTAAAAATGATCTTTTAGGATCTCACCTCTTTGTGGATCGGACAGAAGATGATGTTGTTTTAGTCGGTGAAACCTCAGTGTAGCTTTTGATGCTAGAATTGAAATGAATAAGAGGTTAAGAAAGTAGCCACATTTGTTCATTTTAGTCAGCAATAAACAATGCTGTGGTTACTGTACCTAGTGGTGGTCTTAAGAGGTGAAGGGGGTCTAGATTTAAAAAAAAAAAAAAAAAGTATTATAGGTTTATTTAATTTAATTATACGATTGTGTTTCCTATATCATTTATGTCACTCACCCATCAACAGTGTCTTTTGATGACTTCACAGTAATGACCTCAGTCTTGTAGTCACTTTAGGAACATATAACATGTGCAGTGAGACATAATGAAAAGTATTAGGATACTTTTGCACACTTAAGGCACAATTTCATTAAATTATTCATTTTAATGTAAGTACATAGTAATATAAAGTGTGACCAATGTTTTTTTTTATTTGTATGAAAAGCATTAATTTTGAATATCAATGTTGTTTTAATATTTTGTTATAGTATAATGCACACAAACAAAAACGTCAACCATCAAATGCATGTGGATCTGATCTGATTTACCCAGAAGTCTTGGTCTTCAAAGCTGCCAGGCCTTTTTCAGTGATTGTTTCAGACTTGGTAACTGATTTCACCACATCCTTCCTGAAGACAAGAAGACAACACAGTTTAGAAAAGTTAAAGCTGACCTTTTCATTCATAACATGCTGAATATAGTGTGAAATAGTTATGACTGATCTGCCATTATAATATCCTCTTAGTATCTTACTTTGTAGTGGACACGGTTGTCTCGGTAATCTTTGAACCATTGATTATTGTTGTAGAAGTGCTGAAAGAGCAATCATCAGTTTTGTTAGAAGCAAAAGTCAGCCAGTCTTCATTCATTCAATCAGTCTTTTAACCAAAGGCTTTACCTTGTCCTTGGCTGCGTTCTTACGGTTGTTTTAGTTCCTATGGTTCTGTAGGGTTGGGTTGGAAAGATGATTGAGCTCTTAAAATGTTTTAAATTCCCAGCATTTTTGGCTTTATTCACTCTTAGACATGTTTTAGATACAGCAAACATGGGTGACTAATCATATTGTAAATGTAAGTGCATGTTCTTCAACAGATTGTCAAGCATTATCGTACTGTAGCATGTATTATTGTTTTGTATTTTACACTTCATTATTTTTCTAAATTAAGTACAGAGACAGATTTTAACATTAACAGTTGAAAGTTGTGAATTATGTGTATATTTTACCTGGTTTCATTCAGCTTGTCCTGGCTGCCACCAAATCTGCACAATGTAAACAATCAAATAAGACTCTTTTACCAGATAAACTGTTTACAAAGCACCATATCATGGAAGCCCATTTCTTCTACATTTACTGTATGTCATGATTTCCACTTAAGTCGCATGAATTTTATTCACAATTTCTACTTAGAATCTCATCATTTTGACTTTTTAGCTCATAATTATAACTTTTTTATATCAAAATGATGAATGTGTTGCTAATGGGCTTCCATAAGAGTGAGTATTGTTATGCACTGTGTAATTCTAATGCACATTTGTAAACTTGATTATGTGTTTAATGTACAGTATGAAAGTGATACGTGCATCTTCAGCAGTGCATTACCTTTTGGAGAGAGCTTGGACAGAGGAACCCGATGAAGTGGTGACGGTGGTGGTTTTGCTCTCGGTTTTGCTAGTTTGAGGGCTTTGTGGAAAAAAAAGGACCTCATATTCATTTTTTATGTCAACATGTGGGACATACGAGCCCGTTCTCATCCTTTGGCGTCATTTAGGTGACGCCATATGACATTTCGTCAAAATACTGCGCACATGGCACCCTTTAGCGTCAATATAACACGCAGAACCCAAGGTGTCATACAGGTGAGTGGCATCCTTTAGCATCAATATGAGACGCAGACCCTACCCCAGACCTAAACCTAACCATAACAGTGCGTGTTTTATTGACGGTGCCATGTTTGTAGTATTTCGACGAAATGTCATATGGCGTCACCAATATGCCGCCAAAGGATGAGAATGTATTGGAGATACACACAAAAGTGTTACGACGAGATTACGGTAACTACCTGACAAGGTTTTCGTTGGACTTGTAACGGCTCAGAACAGTTTTGCCAAAGTTCGGGTCGTTTCTGTTGGGAAATGGGAAACACAAATTCATCTCGTCAGATGTTTAGTCTGTCAGACACATAAATGCCAGTGATACAAAGCATCTGAAAGATTTACAACCATACAGAGGAGATGTGTTAAACAAGTTGTGTCTAGTTTGCTGTCCATTGATGAACGTGTTGAAAACTCACTCGACTTGTTTGTCCTCGTTCACATTTGCCCTGATCCAGCTATTGTCCTTCAGCAGGGATGCTTTCTTTTTGCTCTCCTCCACTGCTTTAGCAGTACTTGAAGTCGTAACTGTTTTCAACAAAAAGTATTAGGCAAATAAAATTACTTGATTATGGCTGTACATATGATATAATATATATATTATATATATATATCCCAGAGAGTTAGATAAGTCCATACATACAGTACACGCTTCTCATCTGTAACTCTGTCTGACGCACCCACCGCTAGCCTAGCTTAGCACAAAGACAGGAAGTAAATGGCTCCAGCTAGCATACTGCTCCCAATAAGTGACAACATTTTCCTATTAACATGTTGTGATTTGTATAGAACGTGAATCACTGCTACAAGGACGGCGCTAGCTAGATTTGAGCTAGCTAGTCACGTTGGTTTTGTTGACAGAAGTAACAACTGCGCTTTTTAATCGCGCCGCCCAAGTAGCAGTGCTTCACCGTCTGAGAATAGTTGCCATGCAGGATGTATACGGTTAGAAGATGGTTGTGTATCATGTGACCTTGTTATTTGTACACATTGTGACTATACAAATCACAACATGTAAATAGGAAAATGTTGGCATTGTTTTGGGAGCAGTATGCTAGATGGAGCCGTTTACCTCCAGTATTTGTGCTAAGCTAGGCTAGCAGCGGTTGTGTCAGACAGAGTTACGGCACGCACGGAGATGAGAAGGGTATGTATGGTCTTATCTAAACCTGGGTTCGGGTTAGTAGAATAAGCTGGCATGTAGTTGCAAAGTAACATATTGTCAGTTGAATGTCTGTTGGGGAGCATCAAAATAAAGTGTTAGCATATATTAAGCAGACAGTCTACTAATACTCAAATGACTGCTAGTTGTCAAGTAACTTTAGTTGCGAAGTTACTTTTAGTTAGTATAATGTCTGAAGTGGATTATCGAATAAAGATGTAATTTTTAATGCATCTTCTCACCTGTTTGGACCTTACTGTATGATTTTCCAGTGAAAGACATGGTTTACGCTGTAAGATGGAATTGAAACACATTATTACGTTTGCAGTGGATACAGTGTACTGCATAGGCTACTATCCACAAGATGGTGCGACCAGAAAAGACATAATGAGTGTGTCAGTGCAGCATCATGTCATGTATATAAAAAGCAAACTTCTGGTTAGTACATTCCATTCCTAGTGTTGATGTAGCATTGTCCTTTCACTTAATCCCTCCCCGAAAACACCCAAAACTAGTCTGTCCTGATCTCTGTAGAGACACACCCTTCAAACACCTGCCACTGAATCCATAGCAACTCCTCATGTTTTGAAAAGAAACGTCCCATGTATTGCAATTAACAACATCAGCTGAGAGGTTTCGTGGATTTTATATAGCAAAGGTTATAAATGTACAAAAGTGTGTGTGTGTGTGTGTGTGTGTGTGTGTGTGGGGGGGGGGTGCTATATATATACATTATATATGTATATAGGCTATATAATGCATGCATCTTAACATAACAAATCTTGAAAATATTTTTACAGTATATATATATATATATATATAACATTTATGCATGCATAATATTTTTCAAAAAAATTATATTCAGTATATATATACACACGCACACACAGACCTGTCAACCAAAGTTGACCAAAACAACCAAAACATTTATCACATCAAACAAAAATGCAATAAAACCTTTAATATTGTAAAATTTAAATGTTTATTATTTGAATATATATTTAAATGTAATTTCTCGCAGTGATGCTCGAGTGATATCAGCATCATTACTCCAGTCTTCAGTGTCACATACTGATTAACTGAATAAATCATTCTGCATTTGCTGCTCAGAAAACTTTTCTTAATATTATTATTATCAATGTTGAATTCTTTTTTTTTTTTTTTTTTTTTGCTGCTTAGCATTTTAACCATTCAAACATGCGTGGTAAGATTAAAATATATAGAAATTAATAATTTGGAAATGATGCTGAGAATTCAGCTTTGCCATCACAGAAATAAAAAACATTTTAAGATATATTTAAATAGAAAACAGTTATTTTAATTTGTAATAATATTGCTGTTTTTACTGCATTTGTGTTCAAATAAAATGTTTGTTACTAACATTCTGTGTAGATTTGACTTCTAATTTGAGCAGAAAACCACTTTCCCTCTTTTATGACAAAAACCTATTTTCTAATATTATTTCAGAAGCAATAATCTGAGACAATGTCATGGTCTTCAAATCCACCTTGACATTGAACACTGTTTTAGTAACATGCCCCGCGAAATACTCAACATAACATTTAATTAACAGTTCATATTCTAAATCCATATGACAAGAGAATCCAATTGCATTAAGATATTTTAGTAAGATCACTGTTAACATAAACCCCTTTGATTTTAGAAACAAAAACAAATATCATCTATGAAAATAATTGACATATAAAACTAGAACAGAATCAATAGATACCTATGTATAATCATACCTTGGTATTTCAGGTGCGCAGGATTTGAGAGTTCTGATGAGAATAATATACCGTTTACTGCTCTTACATATTTGACATGGGTAGGGAAGGACCAGTGAAAGGTGTGGCTTCATACGAGAGCAACTAAACCTGAACAGCACAGTAATGTCAATGCGGTTTACAGTAGGGGTGTGTTTTATGAGGTCAGCTGGGAATGATGAAAAGTAATGAATGTCATTGGGACATAACCAATTGTCTGTCTTAGGAAACTATGTGAAAGGTGCCACAATCTTCAATGTCAAGATAAGACAGGGACAAAAAAAAAAAAAAAAACTGTTTGTGGTGTTTGTTCTTAAAGGTTTAAAAGGATTCAAAAGTCTGTCATTCTAAATGTTTATTTAGTTACATATTTTGCCAGCAATTATTGTAGTTCAGAACTGTAACTTTATAAAATGATTCAGAACCTTAATTTTTAGCAGGTGTGCAAAATCATTATTATTTATTATTCCCTCTTAAAAGGTTATGTCAAAACCTTTTAACAACTGTAGAAGTCAGAGTTATGTTGTAAATGTTTTCTGTAGTGTTCGGCTAGTCTTAAAAATAAAGTTAAATGTTAAGTTAAATGACATAAGAAATTATATCATAAATTGCAATAACCTTTTTTAAATTTGCAATGCTACAGACAGGCTCTGACTTAAACATTAGCCTTCACACACACACACACACACACATATATATATATATATATATATATATATATATATATATATATATATATATATATATATATATATTCACCGCTGTAGCTACGAGACCAATGTTTTGCTGACTTTTTTGATTACTTTTCAAAATATTGTGGAAAGCAAAACACTGCATAATTTTACAGTAATATTCACACTAAGTAAAATCTTAACTGAAAAAATATTTTGGGTAACCAAAAATGGTTCTTCTGTTGCATTTTTGCAAGGCCTCCATTTTGGAGCCTTTGTTTTTTATGAGTGAACATAGGTTAATGTATCTGGGCCTGATTGGCTGGTTCTAAATGAATAGTTGTGTTGTTGCTGAAGCATGTGGCTTGTTAGGTTTATGCTTGTTGTGGGTGGGTGAAGCAATCTTTGGTAAAGTAGCCTACAGTATGTCTGACAGCAAATATGAAGAGCATGTCTGTTGGGTGTGACACTTTTCCTCACACACCCTTAATAGTTTTAACGTGTGTAATATGCAAAAGACAATACAAAAACTTGATGACACAAAAGGCTGGTTTTTATGTTACACCAAAACATTTTTAGGCTATGAAAAAGTAATATTTGCACATACTAGATTTTTGAGGAGTGCTAATACGATGATTGTATTTATTTAAGGAAATATTGTGTTTGGTTTAAAACAAGATAAAAGGAAAAAGGGAAGGAAAGGAAAAAAGCTTGCTGCTTGCTTTATTTACGTTATAAATATGAGCTAAAACAACACAATTGCTGAACATTTTTTTACAACTTAATTTCATTGTGTTCAATCCACTCAAATACCCTGTGTCAATTTGAAAAATAAATACAGTAAATAAATAAATAAATTAACTAGTTTTATTCACGCCAAAAATTTTATTTAACATCATTGAATCACCCCAAATACTTTAATTTATACCAGCAAACATTTGGTTAAATTAGGTAATAGCTCTTTAAAATTGCAGATTGCATTCTTACAGTGTAAATGAATCATTTTTGTTGCATACCTAAAACTGGATGGGTGGATTTTTACTCGCAACCTTTCCATAGGATTGAATTGAGATTAAAAGTTAAAATTAAGTGTTATTTTTTACATATTTTTGATTACTGTAAAGACAAAGACCATTTAATGTTTACTGTTCACTTAGGACGGTTGTCAAATTAAATAGTTTCTGTTGTTGAATTTTTGTGGTTACGACTGTGCTGAAGAGAGCTTGTTGGTTTGGTTATGGTTTACTGGTTTATCCTTCATTCAGCAATGCTAATGTCAGTACAGTCACAAACTAAATAATTAAGTTTTCGGTAACACTTGTCTCAAAAAATAAAGTGGATTGAAAAACACGTGTTCAGTTAGTTTTTCTTAACCTAAAATCATGCACTGCTACATGAAAATGTCGCTATTTTACTTTCACAAAATAGATAGATAGATAGATAGATAGATAGATAGATAGATAGATAGATAGATAGATAGATAGATAGATAGATAGATAGATAGATAGATAGATAGATAGATAGATAGATAGATAGATAGATAGATAGATAGATAGATAGATAGATAGATAGATAGATAGATAGATAGATAGATAGATAGATAGACCTACATTATTTAAACTTACAACACTGACATTTCTCACCACTAGATGGGGCAATACATTAAAGAAAATGTTTTTGATTACAATTCTCCAGTTCATGTCATCTTTGTATTCAAGAATTTACGGTAGTGACATTTAAAAAACATTTCGAACTAAGAATGTATAGATTATTTTTCTGCTGTCTGCATTAAGAGAAATATTTAATTTTAAGATTTTAATGCATATTGTGTTGTTAGAAGTAAATTTTCATCTAAAACATAATTTGATGAAAATCTTTTGTCCAATCATTGTCCACAAAATAAAGTTATTTCATTTTGACTGGGCAGAAGTGAACTCACTGCACAGATGAAGATGTTCTGTCAGTCTCACCTCTACCATTACCGAATCTAAGGGTGATTATTGTATGTGAATGAGTTCAGTGCTGCTGACACAACTCTAACCAGTGTCTGTCTGGGACACAGTGAAGGGAGGAGGGAAATGTCATCTCTCAGTATTCGGGTTATGTCCCCAAACAGAGGACATTCATTGACCTTATTACATCATGTGCAGTTCCTCTCACATCTCACATTCTCGCTCTTCCTATTTTATGAAAATCCACATCCTGTCTCTGTTTTGTTTTATATACATTCAGATGTACACAATTCATATCAAGGAGAAAAGTCTTAGGGTTACAACGATAATATGTGAAAAATCGTACTTTTTCGAATGAAGTGGGTCATGGACAGTATTTCAAAGAAATGTTTTTGAATATATATATATATATATACACACACACACACATACAAAATGCTATTTGTCAGTCAGAGTGTCAGTCAGCCTCTTTAGTGGATTTTCTGCATTCAAATATGAAGTGGCTGATCTAGGCATCACCTGTTCACACAGTAGCCTTGACTGTTATTTGATTTGTTAGGTTTATATAGTTTATTTGCATTATATTGCATTATCTTACTTATGAGATGCAAATTGCCAACACTGCGGAAAATAGTCTCTATAGCAGGATACTTATCACCAGTCATTACACATATCAAGAGTAATGAAGTCAGTAATCCACAGCCAGCTATAGTCTAATTATCATTAGTGATTTCATGAGCTATTGAGAAAACTTTGTTTGCAGTTTCTTATTTCAATTCCTATTGAACAGGGGAAGGGAAGAGGTAGAGATAAAAACTAGAAATTGTAAAAAATATTCTTTACATTCAGAAAATAAATATTTAGTTGTACTTTAGCGAATGGCAATTTTAAATGTATTTTGATAGATTTTTTCCCCACATAGTATCTTGTATTATTTGTTATATTTGTGTATTGTTATATTTAAGATGAGGTCATTTTTGTACATTAATTTTTTAAAGTTGTAGTCTTGCAGATTTTTTTAATGAAACTTACCCACATTCAACTGTTGATGAAGAATGCATGAAGCTAGAATAGTTTTTATTTTATTTATTTATTTTTTTAAAGCGGAGGCTCTGTTCTTTCTTTTGATACATTGTATGTTCTGATATTCATACAAAACAATATGCTGGGTGGCCATTACATTTTTTCATAAAAATATCAAAATTTGCTGGAGGTGGCTGGCAACAATAGCATATATATATTAATTTAAAATCTGTCGGGGAAATTATGCAATTAAACTTTGCATTTTTATTATAGGTAAGTGCAATTAGCTGCACTGTAGAGTGCTTTTTGACCCACTTAAAAACATCTTAATACGTAATTTAATTATTTATGTCTTCGAAATATGGTTACTGACAAGACACGCCGTGACGCCTATTTATGTAAACTAAAGTATGCTATGTGATGTGCAATTGCATTTTACATTAAAATCTATTAAAATCCCCCTGTGGTGAAAATCAAGCTTTTGATGTATGTTTATATGTCTATGTATTGTTTTTAATATGCTTTAAGACAAACCATGTGCAAATTCAAATTTAATTTTCTCCTTAAATCTGCAGTGAATCAAAGACATTCTCAAAAATGTGGTTTGAAATCGGTTGCTCTCTAATAGCAAATGTAATGTCTAAATGTAATATCAGTTAAAATTTTAGAATCAAGTATTTTATGCATTAATATGTTAGTCAGCACATCAAAGTACATTAAATAGGTACATCTAGCACATTATTACAAAGTTTAAGTGTGTTAAGAAACATTCATGAAAGTGTATAGTTACACTCCTTTTATTTCATCAATATTAGTATCTGCTGGTATCGTTTTTAAAAAACATACTTTGTTTGAGGATTTGAATTGCATATTCAATAAAAAACCAAGTGCACTTCATTTCAACAAGGAAACATACCCAGAGTCCCAATATTCAGATTTGTGGGTTATCTTTTCTCGTGTGGTTGTTATGATTTTCAATTCACTCTCCAAGGTTACATCCTTGGTTATAATAACAAGTCACCGGTAAGGGTGCTTCAGCTGGTAATCCTATATCAGAAACAGTATGCCAGGTATAACATGCCGTAACATAATATACGGAAACACATTCTGACAACAAAACTAATGTTTTGGTGTGAGCAAATTATTTGGGGCTTAGTTTTGTTATTAGCTGACATTGTGCATTGTGCGCTGCATTTCCCCGATAGTTCACCCAAAAAATGAAAATTCTGCCATAATTTACTCGCCCTCATACATTCCAAATCTGTAGGCTATGACTTTCTTTCCTCTGCTGAACATAAAATATTATGAAGAATATATTTTGAAGAATTTTCACATCCGACTTTGGAAACCAAACAGTTTTGATGACCAATGACAAAATGATGACACTGACAGAATAAAAAATTTTGGGTAAACCTGTAAGCAAACAGACCAGACCAAACAAACCAAATAAACAAGACA